TATTATTCCACTTCATGTTTACTATTATTCCACATCATGTTTACTGTTATTCCACTTCATGTGTACTAGCTATTATTCCACTTCATGTTTACTATTATTCCACATCATGTGTACTATTATTACACGATTATTATTCCTATTACTACACTATTATTTGTGCAGTTAATTTTCTACTAATCTGGTACTCCCACTTGGCCACCATACCTACACTGCCAGATGACTGGACGCTGCCGTCTAAAATTAAAGTCAACTCGCAGTTCCAGGGTATATGCGTGCGACTCTTCGAGCAGGCAGACGCCGGCAGCCTTTTTGAGAACTTTTTCCTCTGTCGGCATTTACGTGGACGATGCTTCCATTTACTGACGGCTCGCATGCTTCCAGTTACTGACAATGTAATGATTTGGGAGGATAGGACTGATTATGTTTCGCTTAGTTCAGTTTGTTCAAATCCGTCAATTAGTCCTTAAATAAGATTCTGTACTAATCCACTATATTCCAGCAATCCACAGTGCTAGGATGTGGTATATCTTTGCATAAAATTGTTTCTTCATACGTCGCTGGCGAGCAACTATGGAATAGTAATTATGCGATATATGTCGCGAAATAAAATCAAAACATTTGCTACTTTCTAATTATTAAGTTTATGCCTATTTTATATTACAATTGAGTTAAAAAGGATAATCAGTATATATACATAGAACAATAGATATTAACAATGTTGATAACAGAGTTAATTACTCACTGCGGCGTGTGTGTGTGTGTAAATCAATTACTTCATGAATCATGTATAATTGTACATCAATTGGTTATCCATAATTAGTAAGGGAGTCACTTGTAAGACTGATGGTAACCGATGGTTTGTATCTGTGTTTGTGATAAGTCGTACACGCGTGCATGATACGGTGGTTACATATGAAAGGTAAGCAGAAATCGTGAAAAGTTATTCTGAGTTTACTTTACTCTGCAGCTACGTTACTTTTGCAGCGACTTTAAAGAATGCTTCTCATATCGCTATAACCCTTAGCTCAAATAAAATAACGCTGAATGCTCACACAGAATTTCTGGAAGATACTTTTATCCCGAAGGTCATATTTTCGATCCATGCCGAGGTTTTTACCTCGGATCTTAGAGCACAATTGGCGTGATTTACTCAGTCCTTCAGCGCGCCTTTTTCGTGTTTGCATAGAAAGCGGCGAACTGAGAAGACCAAAAGTTTTTCCGAAACCAGCGTTAGCAAGTAGCCCCACTTACATATTTGTCAGTAGAGCGAGTCATACTCGTTTGTTCAAGTCATGATTGTCCTAATGAATTTTTTTTCTTTTCAGGAAATCACAGATTTCTTGTCTTTTGTTAACAGTTTAAAAATAGAGCATGAAAAATGTGCAATGTTTTTAAAGACGTGATCTATAAATGAAAGTAAAAGGTTCAAATGTCTTAAAAGAAACCAACTTTATACAATGGAATTAGAGATGCAGAAATTTTCATGTGATAATTTTTTCTGAAAATCATAGTTAGTGCTGGAAATATTTGCAAACTGTTCAGGTAACGTGTACACTGTACAGTTACAATAATAAATAATAACACAGTTCGATAGTGCAGTTTTTGGTTTCGAGTAGAAACAATGTTCCTTTAAGCATAAATTGAACTAACTGTCGCAAATAAAGTGAGAAAATCTGTGTTATAACCAAAAGAGATTTAGTTGCATAAGTTGAGTATTATTCTTGGTGAATCAAGAATGATTACAATTTTTACTAATTATAACTGTTATTTACTTATCGAAGGATTTCGAGAACATTGACATTTATTTGGTGCAATTTCTTCAAAAATGGAATCCAAATACTACCGAAAAAAATTATTAACACTATACATGAATTTTCGAGTACAAAGTGCTTCACGTTGAAAAGTGAAAAAATTTTCCGTCTTTAGTGACAGAAAACGGGAAAAATCACAATTTCTGATCAACTGCGCTCCGTTCCGTGTGAAGCTTAAGTCAGCTGGCTGCATGCCACACGACGCATCATCCTCATAAAAAAAAGACAACATAGCAGTGTAACGTCAGCATCAGAGGTCTACCTGAAAATTATTTTCATTGAATATTATGTGTGGTGAGTACTTATTATTATTTGGGTAAAATCTTCTTGCTTATATATCAGGGCGAGACTTTAAGGTTTAATTTTTAACACAATTTCTGTAGGTAAGGTAAATGCCATTTCTTATTATGATCTTGACGACAATTTTTGTCATAAAATATGCAACGAAGCTTTATCAATTTGAATGAAGATTTAAAAAATAAAATGAAGAATGAACAAAAATAAAACAACAATTTAATAAAATGAAATAAAGATAAAATAGATCAAAATAAAATTAAATAAAATAAAATGGGCATAAAAATTGAAAAAATAGATTGTAACAAACGAACCGAAATCTACACTTTATTCTTCCATGCAGCCCACCAATCCTTGACATCTTCTCATTCAACAACAACCCAACCCAAATATTACTCACCAACAGCCAATTTATTCTCGTAGCGTTTACTTCATTCCCTCCTGCTTTTTTCTGTTTAGGAAGATTTTATGTTTGACAATTACTCTCACTGATAGCTCAACGCAATATTTACTCATATCGGTCAATACTTTTCAACCATCACCCAAAACCGCACAACACCACGGGACAGAGTCATTATTCATTAATTATGCTCGCCATGTCCGTCTGTCCGTCCGTCCGTCTGTTCATCCGTCTGTCTGTCCGTCCGTGACTTCATGTTTTTGTCGACGAGAAAATGCGCTCTCTGTCACTCACTGCAGTGAGTACTGAGTTATACTTTTTGGTACAGAGGTTCGATTACAATGCCCAACGGAAAAACCAGCTCAATTAATCAAACAGAGTTGACCGATGGACCTTTTTCTGGCAAGTCAAATTTGAATTTTTTGTGGAGGTAAAATCTATATAGGCCATTAATTTATTTTACTTGTGAATGGAATATGAAGGATACGTTTTTTTCTATAAAATAGGAAATTAAATTCTTCCTTAAAATACATTTTGGGCGTTTTTGAGCTGATTCTTTTGCCATCATCTGGCAACCCAGTGCTAAACACGCCTTCCGGCCACACAGGAGATTGTATGGTAATTTTATCAACATTGGCACGACATTTCAGTGATATGACTCACTGCCTGGCATTGCTTGCTTAGCATTTATAATTTAAAGTTGCTCCGAAGAAACAAACTAAATCTTAATGTACTCGCGAAGTTTTGCTACCTTTCTTTTTTTGTCACTTAAAACTACTCTGTGGCATCTTTTTCTCCTCCTATTATTCCAGATCAAGGACAAACATTATTATCTTTAAAATTAAATTAAAACCATTAAAAAATATTCATTAAAAACCGTTATTAAGTCATTCCTTGTGATTGTTTGCCATGAGCCATATAATTAAGGTGAAATATTTTTTCCATAGAATTTCTGGCTGTCTCGACCAAGATACTTATCACTTTGTTTTAATCTAGCTGTGCACAACGCGGTGAAATTCTCTTGTAATAAACACGCAATTTAAAACATTCTTAATCTTATTTATATGCACTTGCAAACTCGACTATTTGTAAACTCGTTTAACCGATGCGATTTATATTTTCTTACAGATCGGCGTCAGCTTCACTGGAGGGCGTAATAAGGCTGAAGGAGCAAGGCCGTCATATAATAGTTGCTGTATATGTGTACTGCATTCCAGAAATTGAAGATTAATTGTTCGTGTTGATTAGGAGGAAGCCTACACTTAGCATTTCGAGAGAAAAATTAGCAATAAAAGCTTTTATATAATCACGAGACTATGAGACTGAGATGCCAGAAAATTTTCAGTGACGAACTTTTTGACCTTACAAGAGATTCGCGGCAACGTAGTCTGAAGTCCAAGTGCCGGTTGGCCAAATCCATGAGCTCAAACAAAATGTCCATCTGCACAAAATGTTGGGATGATATAATAGTTGTTGAAATTCATAGCATTGAAACAGATGTTAGTAATTCAGTTTGTTATTGTTGCACTGGAAGTCAAAATTATCATGCCACTACAGTGTCACACCGGATCAGCAATAAGCACAAAGAATGTCTACCAGTGAATACCGTCACGAACCGTCCCGCGGTCAGACGGGAGTTTTGGACAATGCGGGCAGAACACTCGCCTAAATGCTGCCTAGTAAAAACATTTCTATATTATTTTCTTCGCAGCAGTTGGGTCTCATCAATCAATTCAATATCATGCACAACTTATGCCTCGTCCAAATCTTACAACCCGCACAGCAGTCTTCTCATCAACGCATATTCTTGTAGAGATTCATTTTCACCTATAGTTTCAAAAGATATCGAGAGGAATAAATTCAACTATTTTCTGTTCTTGGTAATTTTTATGAAGACATTATTGCAGATTTTACACATTTTGATATACTCGCCCTTGAATCAAGCTAAAAGTCTTCCAATTAAACTGCCTTCAACTAGGCCAAAGTCCTCTGCAGCCTACATTTATTTTCTTCTCTTACTCCAATTATTGTCTTTGGGATTCTGTGCTTCACCGACGTTCAAGATTGCCTTCACAAGATCGTCTTACAATGCGTCAATAGAAGAAAATTGTTTACCTAGAACGTACGTAAGATCTTCTGAAATAATAGGAGTGCCAATGAATTCGCTAGATAAATCAACACAAATAATTTTTTCAATTAAACATGGAGACCCTGAAGGATTTTTCGTGACAGAAAGCAAAAAAATTGGAGAAATCTTCATTCTGGAATTGCGCACGAAAACAGGTGTGAAAGATGTTCTCAATCGAGAACGCCGATCCTCGTACACACTCCGCGTTGAAGCTAATGCTTTCTATGCAGGTACTCATGAATCGTTCAGCACGGCATCGACTTCTATCAAAATTTTTGTTGTAGATACCAACGATAATATACCACTTTTTTATCAAGACTACTTTAGCATTCAAGCTCCTGACGATCTTGCAATAAATTCTCTTTTGATGAACGTCGAAGCACACGATGCCGATTCTGGACTGAATGGACAAGTGTATTATTACTTGGAGAATACTTCATCCGATTTATTTTCTGTCCACCCCGTCACTGGCCAGTTACGAGTAACGCAATCACTTTTTAATGTGCATTCTAAGATGATTCGAGTAAGAATATTAGCGCGTGACCGAGGATCTAGGCCGAGACATTTGCAGGAGAATGCCATAGCTGTAGCCACTGTCGACGTTAATATTATCAAAAAGAACAATGCTGCTCCTAAAATAATGGTAACACAATTACCCAGATTAATCAAGCACGCTCATGTCAATATTTATGCCATAATTAATGTTACGGATGATGATGAGGGTCCAAATGGGAGAATAGCTCCTTTGGAGATAGTTAGCGGCGATGCAGAACAATTATTCACAATAACCGAAGGTTCGTCAAAAAATCAATTCAATTTAGGAATTGAGAATATTTTTAATCGAGAAATTCCTCCATTTGGTTTCAATATCACTGTACGCGCAAGAGACTGCGGGATTCCCAGTCGGACGACGGATAAGAGCATTCAAGTGACTGTAGTTGACTTCAACGAACAACACCCCATCTTCCTCAGAGAATCTTATGAAGAAGAGGTAGGCGAAGACGCGCCTCCAGAGACACCAGTGGTCAGAATTGCTGCGTACGACACAGATCATGGGAGAAATGCATTGGTCAGTTTTAGATTACTTGCTGGAAACCAGGACGGAAAGTTCAAAATAAACCAAAGAACAGGTCTTATTTCGACAGCTGGCTGGCTAGACGCTGAAACCAAAGCTTATTATAGCCTAACGGTTTCAGCCATTGACCTCGCCAGCAATACCCTTAGAAAGCAGTCTTCTGCGAAAGTAACCATTAGAATACTCGATGCTAATGATAATTCCCCTGATTTTGTAACTCCCAACACCGAAGTGACAGTAGATGAAAATGAACCTGCTGGTTCTTATGTCACCAGAGTCAAAGCAGTCGACGCTGATGCAAGTGAAAACGGTTTCCTATCGTATAGCATTTCCAACATAGAACCAATTCCTTTCGTAATTGGTACCTTCGATGGTGTTATCAAAACATCAGAAAAATTGGACTATGAGTCTGGTCAGCGCACTTTTACAGTTAACGTACGCGCTTCAGATTGGGGACAGCCCTTCAAACGAGAAGCAGAGACCACCGTGAAAATCAACGTCCGTGATATCAACGACAATATACCTGAATTTATAGGTACAGATTGCAAAGGCTGGCTGGCTGCAAGTACTTCTGCTGGCTCACAGATAATCACTTTAAGAGCAGTGGACCTGGATGCTCACAGCAGCATCTCATATAAGCTCTCTAACAAGGGCCCAAGTGAGTGCTGGTCTCTAGATAGTTCATCGGGGATTCTGTCTCTCAGCTGTGACTTGAAAGAAAGTTTACTACAGTCCAGCAAGTCCCTGACAGTGATCGTTAATGTTACAGCTTCGGATGGAAAATATACGTCAGAGCAGTTGTCTGTCACTCTGCTTGTTTTTGATGCACCCACGTTAGGCAATTCTGAAGCCTTCAAACAAAACAAAGTCAGGTGTTCGCCATCCGAAGCGGGTGAAAAAGTTGAAGCAACGATTGCGGCAGAGCTCAAAACATTTGATGAACCTGAAGCCTACTCGTTTTTACCGACACAGTATGATTTCAACGCCAACCACCCAGAGTTCTCAGACGGAATGCCGGGGATGATCGAAATTCCTGAGGATACTTCGGTGGGAAAAGAAGTTTTTAAGTGCACAGCCACAGATAGAGATGAGGGACCGAATGGAATGATTGTTTATGCAATCAGTTCAGGAGATTTTGATTCTGTGTTTAACATTGATTTATACTCAGGAGTTATTAAAGTCACCGCTCCTTTAGATAGGGAAAGAACATCAGTGTATATTCTCAACGTCACGGCTTATGATTTGTCCCACACCCATTTAAGTACATCTAAAAATATAACCATCAATATATTGGATGTAAATGATAATTCTCCCGAGTTCACGATGTTGAGCTATAGTCTTTATTTGCCAGAAGACACGAAGAAAGGCACAAGCGTGGCACAGGTGCTGGCCATTGATCCTGATGAGGGTGACAACGCTGAAGTTTCCTACGAACTTGTGAATCACGAGCAAACATTTCACCTTGATCCAGTTTCTGGCACACTGTATGTGGCCGAAAATCTAGACAGAGAATCATCGGAAAAATTTCTGTTGAAAATAAAGGCACGGGACAGAGGGAAATACGAACAAATGTACTCCATTGCAAAAGTTTCTATCACAATTCTCGACATAAACGACTGCGCGCCGGATTTTGGCGCAGGGTCTTCAGTGACCGTGAGTGTGTTCGAAGATTACCCTACAGGAACAGTGATTGCGACCATGCAGGCAGTTGATCGTGATCTTGGAGATGGAGGTAAAATCACCTACAATATAGCAAACGATCATGGTGGGAATTTTCGGATAGATCATACAAATGGAGTTGTGAGAATCGCTTCCTCGCTTGATTTCGAGGCCAATCAGACACATAACCTAACAATTATAGCAAAGGATGCCGGGTCCCCTCCTCTTTGGAGTGAAGCGGTGTTGTTGGTTTACGTAGAAGACGTACCAGAGACCACTTCATCACCGACATTCAAACAGCGAATTCTGCAAACTAGTATTCAAGAAAATCGAGCGGCTGGCAGTGAAGTTATTGTATTGGGCGTAACATCTGCTGACTCAACAGCTCTCCAGTTCGTCATTTCCGGTGGTGACGGAGTCGGTTTATTTACGATCAATAATGAAGGTGAGTGCTATGTTTAATAGAAACTATACTCGTTTTTAGTTGCTAGATGAAAAAGCCATACTGATTTCAAGCCCAATATAGCATCTCATTGTTAAATTGAACTGCTGTTATACAGTACCGGCACCGTAACGTGTCGTTATTGATTTGCGCATTTAATTATTTATGTGCACTCTGTGAGTTTTTTGGCTAATTACATAGGTTTATTCTAGCGATCAATTGAACATTATCAACAAGATAGGGATTTCATTATCAAGATTTCATTATCAAAGTTTCACATGGAAACCTGATATTTGTATTATGGTAAAAATATAACGCCTGATAATTAACGGCCAATAGAAATTAAAATGCGGACATCGAATGACGTTATTTGCTTCTAAAGGGTTGGAATGTTGTGAATTATTCTGCGGCAGCGACGACTTATACAATATTAGCTAAAATTACTTCTCGCCATTCTTCAGCAATTCCCATCCTTGCTTGTACATGCGTAACTATAATGCGTAATATAATAAAATGCGTAATATAATGTGTAATATGTACATGCGTAATATAATATACACGGACTGTGATGTCCGATCCATTCATGATACCCAAATTAATCAATGATACATAAATTTAATTTATTTAAAAACAAGATACAATCAAACTCGAGTATTGGAGAAAATTTCCAATGTTCAGAAAGATACTTTTATTCTTCCAAACTCGCCAGTTACCATTATAGGATGCAAACTTAACCTTCATTAAAGATGAAGAAACCCATCGAATGAAAACTAAACTGATCGCGATGCAAATTAATCGATAAATTGTCCTATATCAAGTTCAACACATCCAATATAATACCTGACTCTCTTAAAATAATGAAATGGTTTTGTTATATGTGGTTAAGATTTTCGTTTTTTTACAGCCCATTTTGTCACATAACTTTGATATTTTTCCCTGCAAAACTTGAATTGAGTTTCACGATTTGAATTTATCTCTCATGTTCCAGTGTTTCGTAAATATTCAGTGCAATATAATTTTTTAAAACGCCCATCTGTGGGTAATCAAGAATTAATTTCTTATTTTAGTGGATCAGATAATTATTGTAAGATGCCGTAACTCGAAATTAATCTGATTTTGCTTACTAATCCTCAACTTTAACTTCCATCAGAAACTGCTTTCTTCAGATAAGGGGAGATAACGCTTCTTTAAACAAATTTTCAATTGCAGGCGAGATACGAACGGTGCGCAGCCTGGACTGCGAGACGAGCCGCGGCTATTGGTTGCAGGTTGCCCTCTACAGCGCGGCAGACATGGGAGCTGCAGCCGACTACTGCTGGGTGAGATTAGCTGACATGCAAAAGGATATCATTGAATCTGATTAAGATAAAGTCTTAAATGGAACGGTCAACTTGCAGTTCGATGATTGAAGTTCGCTGTTCAAATTAATGCTAACGAAAACAAGTTGTTTTTCCTAATTTAATATTTTTGTTCATTTTCTGTTAGACAAACTGGTAGTGAAAACTGAATACCTCGAAATTTCGCTTATGAACCATGCTTGAAAATTTTTTGATCATGCCTAAATTTTTCTCTTCATTCAACTCGAGTGAGCATCACGCTACCAAAATTTCCCTCGTGTCAAGATATGTTTTTTTGTTTCCAGGTTTACGTGCTTGTGGAGGATGTCAACGATTTCGTCCCTCTAACAGACAAGCCAATGTACCGTATATACGTGCCTGAGGACACCTTGCCCTCAACACATCTTCTGACGCTGCAGGCCTACGATGGAGACTTCAGTTCGGTCGGCAGGAGCGGGGTAGTCAAAACTAAGCCCCTGCGTTCCGGATCCGGGAAAAGAGACACACTTGAATACGAAGAAAACCGGAGCCAATGGAAGGCTGACACGGAAGAACCTGTAACACATGACGGTAACGTCTTTTTGGGAGACAATCCTAATGGAGGAATGATAACTTTCCATATCAAAGAGATAAGAGGACGTCGTAATTCTCCGGGAGATGCACCAGAAATGGATGAACAAGGTTGGGCATCTCAGTCAATTGGACAAGGAGTTTTCATCATTGATCGAATATCGGGTGAGCAAAATAACCAATTCTTTTTTCTTATTAATTTATAGTTTGCAAGGCATGAAAAACCTTACACTACAAATGGAACCAATCAGATTATTTATTTTAAAATTCTTTGGCAGTGACGCTACAAGTCGATCCTCATAACCACCGAGAATTTTGCGAATAACTGCCATTAAGTTTGATGAAGAAGTTAAGAAATTACCATCACAAATGTATTCCAAAATGTCATTTGCTGTTAAACTTAGCTCGATTAAGTCCTCTGCAACAGCTCAGACTATCGGAACAAATTATCGTTCAAGTAGAGCACTTCCGAAATTCAGATTTAGTAATTTTTCTAAAAATATATCAAATTTGCAATAAGTGAAAGAGAAATGCAATTGACACAGATTTTGAAAGCTATTATTGTATTTTCATGCCTAATTAAATTCACCAACTATAAAAAGTCATCTTACTTGCAGTGAACGACTTGAATTGAACTCGAACGTATGAAGTGAGCTTTTGATTAGCGAAACTTTACTGTATACATAATATTGCTGCAAAAATATTCAAATAATTTAATTCAGAAAAAAGTTCCTCTGTGCAATTACGGCCAACTTCAAATTTTTAATAAAGAATAATGAGGTAGTTTGTTACGCTTTTGTTGGTCGAGGTAACTCTCCTGTTAGTAAGTTAGCTATATTTCAGAAAATTGTTCATTTCGTGAGTACTCCGATCAATATTGCAATAAACCGAGTATATAAATAAATACCACTCTAAAATATTTCTTCACATATATAGATTTAGTAATTCACTATTGGGTACACGAGTTAACACTGCGAAATTCTGTACCATTAATTGTTATAATAATAATTTTGCGGTGGAGCCCATTGTTATTGTCACCGTGCCACTAACAATTGCTGTAGAAAGTGCTTTGCCAGAAAAAATACAGGATATTATATTGCAATGTTTTTTTCTGTTCATCAAAGTGTTTATTCTGTAAGTATATTTCTCAATTACTGACCTCACTCTGATTTCTTAGAGAGTATTAATTTGATAAGGAAAAGCTCGCATGAAAAAAATTCCTTTTTTCATATGTGAATTCTTAAGTAGAGTCATTACTTCAGAGACACACGTATAAGCCATTGGTATTTACTGGAATGATTTAAAAACTAATTTTAAAAGGAAATATTTATAAAATTAGGTCAAATTAGGTTTAGTGAAAAAACATTTTTTTAATTTCTTTTTTAAATATGATATCAGATAAAGAAGTAATTCAGGACAAATATTGTCTCATCATTACAGTGTTTCCAAGATATTTAAATTGAGCGCACCTAAAGAAGTAGCGGTCACCCGATACAAGAAGAATGATGTGTGATCTAATAATTTTTTAAATGGGCGGAAATTCTCTAAATTATTTAAATAAGGAATTTGGCTTTTTTCTTACATTAAAACGCGCTTTGAAAATTAGTATATTGTTCAATTCTATGCAAGAAGTAATTTTATAATTTGCTGATAAGCAGCTCGATTGCAAGTCGTTACTCTCGGAATGATATATATGCTCTAAGTGAAAATATTCTTATTCTTTTTACAAATATTTGCGTATTCTCTTACGAAATATTACGAAAGTATTCTCTTTCTTCTTGTTGTTATTTACGAACTTATACATAAATTGTTAATATTTGTTTACAGGAATTCTAAGCACAGCAGGTCCCTTGGACCGCGAATACCAGAACCAGTACGAGGTCCTGATCGTTGTCAGTGACGAAGAGCTGTGGAGCGTCACGACGGTGTACATCACAGTCACTGACGTGAACGACAACACACCGCGGTTCATTGAGAACTTCTACAGGGTGACTGTGCCAGAGCGTTGGCCCGACTCTCTGAGTCGTGCTGCACAGGTGAACAAAGAGAATTTCCAGGAACGAATATACAAGTATTTATTCCGTCTTACGTCAAACTATCATAGAAATAACTCATTTTCTGATCTGAGTTAAGTTTTCATCCTGTTTTATGAAAATTAGGTTAATAACTTATTATATAATTATGAATATACACAATAATATAATTTGATTAATAAATGTTTCGCATCGAACACCATATCATGCACGGTGGACAAATAATTGCAATTTCCTGCGTCTTCTCATGATGAAATAATATGTTCATGAAATAGTAAGTTTATGTCAGACTGCTTTAGGTTACACGCAGTAAGTTGATAAACTATGATGATAGGAGAGGCAAGGAAAGGGTGGACAAATTTTGAAATTCTCAAAATGACCCCAATCGAAAAATCAAAACAAATACATATACAGTAATAGATCCTTCTTATGAATATTAGAGCAAAAATAACGCTGTCTCGATTATCAAATCCAATTAAGTTCCATTGGGGATTAAACCAATAGGGTCACGAGAAGTTTAAGCAACTCGATTCAATGATATAAACATTCAGAATAGTTGAACTGTAATGTGATCACGGTTGCTTAAATGTGTACTATTTGCACCGATCAGCATTCCGTCTTTGTTTGATCAAGCGAATGGTACTAACAAATCGTACATTTTTCACTTTGATTGTGCTTTATGCAGAAATATTTAAAATTTTCTAGTATGACTGAGTTGATTTGAATAATTTTATATAAAATGCAGATTGATAAATTAAAGAGATAAGGTATTCATCTTTTGAAGCAAATGACTGAAGACAGCCAACAGTTGTTTCTAAAATAAATGCATCAAATCAAAAGTTCAGTTCAGTAACATGCGCTAAAAATCGTTCGTATTTAAATCCAAGAATTCGTTACAGCAAGAAAAAAATTATGCGAAGTTTCTATTTTCATTACGCATAGCTTATTATTGTTTTTCATGCATAATTTTCTCTCCTAGGACTGTATTTGCAACAGAAACTCATATATCTTTGATGATAAAACCCCCAAAAAGAATACGTATTACTTATAAGGATAACCACAATAATGGTCACCTACAGACATGAAACAACAACTACCTAATTATCTAGCTTATTTTAAAGCAACGAGTAGCATGACTTCATGCTTCGTGATATTAAGCGAACGTAGGATGCATCTCAGGATCGGAAGTGACACAATTTCCGTACGAACGGCAGACAAGGGGATAAATGTTCATAAAATAAGGCTGAAGGAACGGAAGTGACAATTTCTGTACGAACTGCAAACAATGGGATAAATATTCGTAAAATAAGGTTGAAGGAACGGAAGTGACACAATTTCTGTACGAATTGCAGTAAGGGGATAAATGTTTATAAAATAAGAGTAAAAGAACGGTTCACACATTTTGCATTTGCAGAAGCTGCCGACGACACGAAGCGACCTCAGGAGCGATGGCCATTGGCCCCTCATGCAGGTCAGTTGAAATCATAACTTCACGATACATCACATATCAGTCATATATTATTTCATGACTATCATGACTATAGTATTTCCTTATTTGTTGGAGGTTTCTTGCTTGTAGATTAGGTTTATTAAATAATTGGGCAGAGAGTGACTGCAAGTTCCACCATTTTTCCTTTCGATATCATTTGTATACGAGTACATTACCCGTCATGATGTCAGTTGGATATTTGCATTTACGGAGATTAGAAAAACAACTTTTGCAGAATAATTTGGCTTAGAACATTATTCCACGTATTTCGTATATATTCAATATTATGTTTTAAAACGCCCATCTGTTGGTAATTAAGAATTAATTTCTAATTTTAGTTGACAAGATAACTATTGTAACATAATCGAACTCGAAATTAACCCTATTTCACTTTAATTTACTACTAATCTCCATCTTAACTTCCATCAAAAAATCTTTCCTTCATTAAAAAAAGTTAATTTGATTGTAATGTAATCTAAACTCATCGCACGGAATACTTGGAGTGTGATTTATGACAAGGAACGGACAATAATGAAATTCCCTTCGAGGCTATAAGTTGTACCAACTACAAAATTCGCCAGGTGTATGCACGTGACCGCGACAGTGGCAGGAACGCAGAGCTCACGTACTCTCTGAAGAAGTCGTCTGCTGCTTCAGGGTCTCTGTTCAGCATAGACCAAGAGACTGGTCTCATCAGCACCTCCTCCGTCCAGCTGCTAGCTGGCCAAACTTATGACCTGCTTGTGAGTTGTCACAGGTCTTGACATCAAGCATTTATTTCATTGTGTCTAATTGTGAGCAACTTAATTAGCGTGTTTCCATCGGGTTGTTGTTCCATATTTCATTAGTCATTCAAGCTGGTTACTGGTTAGATGAATATTGGTTAAGATTCATCGAAAGAACTGCTTTTTTTCGTCAAAAATCTGAAATAAAAATTGCACTAAACATCCGTTCAAAAAGTTCAATTCTAAAAAAAGTTCAATTCTAATTCTCTACCAATGTATTCAAAATCCTCTACCAACATATTATTAATTCTTTACACTTCAACGCCATCCAACGTCAGTATTCAGTGATGCATGTAGCACAAGCATGGCCGGCTGCCTCTCGGACATTGTTATAAAACCGCATTGAAGTAAAAAAAATCTCGATCGTGCTTGAAAATTTTTCACACAGGCGGTTGTATAGATTAGTATCCAGAATCACAGTGAATAAGTTCAATTATTTCGTTTTCTCGTTTAACATTGAATTCGTGTTCGGGTGCATAATGACTCTAAATTAAAACCACGACTTACTAATTAAGCTCAGAAAAAAGATTCAGACGAGACCAAATACACAGTTTTTTAAATATCCGAACTATAGGATAAAAAATATAACCTACTGGTTATCTTACCTACTGCAGTGAGTGACAGAGAATTTATTTTCTCGTCGACGAAAACGTGAAGTCACGGACGGACAAGTCACGGACGGACATGACGAGCGAGTCACGGACGGACATGACGAGCACAATAGCGCCTTTTTTCCATAAATGAGAAAATGCACTAAAAATGGGGGTTGGGAGACCCTGAAATAAATTTTTGTTCATCAAGCTATGTTTTTTAACTTCTATACAGGTGGAAGCTCGTGATAAAGGTCGGCCTGCTCGTACCACTTCTGCACGTGCATTACTTCGGGTAGCAAGAGTGCCCCTGGTCTCTGCACACGCTCCTCGAGTAATCTTACCTACCGGTCCTCTGCACCTCATGGAGTCTGACCCTCCCGGACATCCAGTCACATTTGTCACCGCCATTGATCAAGATAACGATACTCTGTGGTTCTCCATCGTAGGTCAGCATCAATTTTTTTTCATTGCAGCTTGCTGGGATGGATATTTATTTGATATTATCACGTGTCCTCATCCTGCGAGAATTTTCAACTTAATTCGCTTCGAAATTGCAACATTGACTCTTCTCCAAGAAGTATTTGTTATACTCGTGTTATGCGCGTTTTTTTATCTCGAATTACATTTTTGCCGTCCTTTACATGCGCACTAACATATATAAAAGGGTTATGCGCATTCTATACTGTATAAATTATCTCTCATTCACTCAAATATTTATTGGCTTATCACCTTTTGAATAATCGAAAAATATGGTTACAAAAATAATTTTCTGACCATTGTCAAGGCGTTAATCGAACCACTGAATGAATAAGTCAGACAAATGAAGTCAGTCCGCCATCACCGGTATAAATAGTGCTTGATACCGCTCTTATCTGGCGCTGTCTGGTAGTGCTTATATCTTTACTTTTTAGAAGGATTATTTGTAATATCACCTCGATTGAGATATGCGGTTGAAATTTTTATTTAGTATAGGCGTGTCATTAAGTCTTGAAGTACTCGTTAAAATATGTATTGTGACGAAAAACAATGCTCATTAATTAATAAGAAAATAATTATAAAGTGTAAAATTTTTGAAATCGTACAGGTAGGCACCTGGGCAATCAAATTCAAGCTGAGAATCAATTTAATAATGAATTACAAAAATTAATTAAATGGTGGCGATTAATCATTTACAGAAACCTTAAGATCATCTACATGGTAATTAAAAAAAACTTGAATGCAAATTCGAAATGGCTTGCCATTTTCATAACCAGTTTCCATTCATGTTTGTTGACACTTAGACGGAGACCCAGCAGGACACTTCAGCATGAGTGTGGACACAGGCATCGTAACCGTGGCCCGAACTTTGGACCGCGAGACTCAATCCTCCTACAACATCACCGTAGCTGTCACTGATGGAGTGCACGTGACGAGAGCTCAGGTGATAATATGACTGGTGTAAGGATAAAAAAAATAATAATAATAATAATAATATGACTATTGTAAGGAAGGAAGTAGCAGATTTGGCCACCAATAAACCAGTCACAAACACTCGCTATTTATTTCAAACACCATATATTCGACCGATTCAGCACAAATGTCGTACCGCTCAAAGGACTGCTTGGATTAAATAAAATGCTTTTTACATCGGTGATACAGATATGAATTTATTTTCTTTGTCTTTATTAAGAAATTTTACTTGATGTGATTGCCCGTTGCTGCAAATTTGTATCGAAACTTCAAACTCTAATTACTAATATTATTATATAACATTTTTTTCTTATACTCAGATGCACATCAAGATTTTGGATTCCAATGACCATGCCCCTTCCCTAAGGGAGCCGATAGTTCATGTCAGCGTTTCGGAGGCAACCTTGGTGGGCTCTGTCATAACAAAACTTCATTGCTCAGACAATGATCATCATTTGCCAACAACCAAACCGGACGCTCACGTAAATCATCACCCAAACCACCTCAACAAGCTACCGCATTCCACCCCATCGGACGCTCAAGTCGGTCACGTTTCATTTTCGATTGACAATGCGAGGGCTGTTGGTAGCGAAGACCTCTTCTCTGTCGACTCAACGACTGGAGAAGTAACTCTTGCCAAGCCTTTGGACAGGTAAAGCTCTGAGGTGCCATAATCGAAGCTGATTTGCCATTCTTATATCTCAAAGTCTGCCTCCTGCCTCTGTCTAAGTACATATGTCAAAACAGAATAATTGTTTTGATAAAAATAATCAGAATTCTTTCTGTAATCTATTGTGTGATAATTCATTTGAATTTTAATGAGATGAGCGCTACGAGCCAAAATTCTCCCAAATCTTGAAAAATTAATGCATTCGATTTATTTAAAAGGATTGCATAGATTCCTCTGGAATATTTCATTTACAGTAAGTCAGTAAGTTTTTGCTCCTAGCAAAGTATTTGTATAAAACCTCAAAGATATTTTTCAATTTGAACTTGAAGCATGCGCAAGAGCGCCATATATTCACGAGAAATATTTTTCAGAGAGATTTCTCCTGTGCACGAAGTGACGATTGCGTGCCGTGATCGAGGCAACCGCGCTACGGCCGATTTTGGTCGTCTGGTCATGACCGTTACAGACACCAACGACCATCACCCTGTCTTTGCCGAGACCGTCATGACGGCTGTGGTGAGTAATATGTTGGTAATTGTAACTTTATTATACTCAAAACTACTTTATCATATATTCAGCGAATTCTAGAAGCACTGAGTTCTTACTATCAAATTATTTATCGATACTTATTTCATACTATTGCTTTCTAGTGAAATTTTTCCATTAGCCATCTTATCAAAACCGTCAGCAGTGCTGGCTGGTCAAATAGCAGAGGTCGAAGTATAAATAACCTTTGCTTGATTGTGTTTTTATTCTCGAACTTGAACCTGCAATAGTATAAAAAAAACAGCACAAAACAAAATAAAATTTAGATCTTAAATATTGTTTTAATATTCTCAGCTTATTTGTTTACCAAAAATCCTCGAAAAATAAGTTCTCATGTAGTGCATTATGACGAAGTAAGTTATATTGCTCAGTCAAAAAAATTAAAGCCTTTAGAGTAATGATTTGACTGGTTGGTTCTACGAAACAATCATTACATCATTATTCTTTCTTCTAGATTCTTGATGCATCAAAATGATAAACACATCATTTCATCCACCCAGAAACTCACGAGGAAAAACTTTCGCTGGAACAAGTTATAAAAATTACCTACTAAATTTTATATAATTCTGAGTAAGCTATAAAATTTCACATGAGATATGACTCAGAAACAGGCAGACTTTTTTTATAACAGCAATATTATATGTCATTTTAATTTAATTTCCGTTGGACTATTACCGAGTGTTTCGATACCCGCAGCCGTCTGATGCGTTCTTTTGCACATTATTTCCGTGGTTTATATAACGAAGCTCAAATCCCTTCGTCTTTCTCAATTGCCGCCGCTGCCTCAGCATTCTCATTGAGAATAATTTTCTAAGCAATTCCTCCAGGCGCGGCAAATAGTAGATTTTTCTCGAAATTTCGAGATGCTCATTAAACGGTTTCTGGAAATCAATACAATCGCACTATAAGAAACAAACGCAGAAAATGAATTCAATATATCAGAATTAATATGCAATATATTTAGTAAACCAAGGTATGAACAAATAGTGAAAATCTCAAGTATTACCACATTACTGGATGTTCGACGGTCACAACTTTCTTAGATGACAGATGAATACTTAGGTACTTACCGTGACGAATCCTCAGCAGTTCAGCTTAAAGAACTTATAGCTTTTTCAGGTGTGGGCAGATGCTGCGGTTGGTTCTGTTATCGTCACTGTTCGCGCCACAGACGCTGACTCAGGAGACAACGGACGCCTATCTTATTCCATTGTTGAAGGTCAGAGCTCTCTGCAATATTTGTTCTTAATAATTCTGCTTACGTACAACACTTCACGTACTGTGTAAGCAACATGAGTTTAAGCATCATTCTCCTGAACGATAATCATCTTGTCATTCACTCTGACCAAGCAATTCCGAAAGTATTCACTGCTGGCGCTCACTAGCGGGAAAGAGACTAAATGTTCACGTGGTACTCAGAAAAAATTCCACAGATTTTACTCAAGAAAGATATGATCAATAACCTTAGGCAAATGAAAATAACCGTTTAAGATAAATTGCCCTTATATTACCACACCAATAATTTAATGCACTCACAACTTAAATAAATACCTCTAATGTTTTAACGTTGCGATATGTTAACGCAACGCGAACCCAAAACTGGTAGCATTCATTTTGGAGTGAGGAAATGCAAGGCGCGTCCTTAATAACTTAAAGAGGATTTTAAATCTCAGCCTCCACTGAATGCGTTGTCCCTCATTTTTTCTGTGATCATAAAGCAGGCAAAATCATTTAATTTGCCTCTAAATCTCGGCAAAAGTTTCGATTAAAAAATTCAAGCGCAAAAAAAGATAAAAATTTGAATAAATTATCACTGAGTAAATTATTGAGACATTATTTAGGAGATGACGAAACTGAATTGATAATACTTGCTCGATGTTAATGCTCAACTAAATCGTTATCAATATGTCGTCATTACAGACGGACAAGTAACAATAAGCCATCTTTTCTGAACCAAAGTCCTGGAGGTGACAACTTTTAGGAATGCCATCAACGAGCTTCAACTACTCTCGAAGTGTAGTTCATGTTGAATCATATACATACGCTAAAACCTACCTCTTATAGAATAGAATAGAAGTGTCGGCGTTGAAGAAATAGGCCCATGGCCTGTTGCCGATTCTTGAATTTTTCGTGACTTGATTCACAAGGGATCCGGCCTTTGGAACCCGATCTTTCCATAACTGACGATTGATTGAGATAGCTGCTGACTTATTGCTAGGCATTTTAAGACTGAACATATGCTCCTGCATAGCTTCGTCTAGTCTGTTTTTTATATACCATCTTATTCTGCCAACTGATGTCTTCCTTTTCAGGGAATCAAGATGGATTGTTTACCATTGACCCATCACTGGGAGTGGTACGACTGGCCGTACGGCTGCAGCACAGCAATACAGACCACGGAGGAGAATACCTTCTTCTGATCCGGGCCACAGACCACGCCTCCCACCCGCGGTCTGCTTCCCTGCCTGTCAGAATAACCATAATTATGGATGCTAAGGCACCTCCAAGTTGGACATGGACAAATTCAAACTATGGTAAGTTCTACTATTTATATCTGATTATTGATAATAGATTTGATATTTATGTAAATTTCGTTATTTAAATAAATGAAATTTGCCATTATAATTAGAAGCATAAATGTACCAAAAAAAATTTATTAATGCTTATCGTTGTTATGAAACTACCTTTTGAATTAAGTACGATGTTGTTATGATTTTGAGATTCTAAAAAACCTTGATGATTTTTAGTATATGGATTTTTTAGTTGCAGTGTGGCCATGGCTATTTCTTTTAAACTGTATCAATTGAATTTCGGAGTTCTGGCGCCATCGATGGGATCAAAGAAGTGTAATATGAGGAGACCACCTATAATGTACTGTGTGGTAAGGTGGGCACGTTTTCATCGGTTAGATAAATGTGTCAAATTCTCGGCAATCAATGTCATAGTTTTGAGCTTTTGGTTTACGGTGATGATATTTGATAAGCGTAAGAGATGTGATGACATCAGTGGATTATGATTGATTTTCGGTTCAAAATGGTAGATTTGGTTGTGAGTGAAATGATTGGAATAAGTTGCATCCTGGGACGGTTCCAGTGAGTTCAGTACCCTCCCGCCCTTCCTTGATCAAGAGATAGAGATATGGGGTGAGGTACACAAATGGTCCAGATTAAATTGGTCCCAGTATATATGTAAACACAATAGAAAGAAGATACAAAAATGTAACTCAGTACTCACTGCAGTGAGTGACAGAGAACGCATTTTCTCGTTGACGAAACCATGAAGTCACAGACGGACAGACAGAAGGACAGACGGACGGACAGACGGACATGGCGAGCACAATAGTGCATTTTTTCATAAATGAGAAAATGCGCTAAAAATGATTGCTCATAGGATCCTAATGGGTCGGACATTGAAACTCGGAAGATATCTTTGTTTCTTTCTATGCAACAACTCTTTTATATACTTCTCAACGGTTATACTTTTCAACTTAAAACAATTTATGCCTGAACTCGCTTTTTGTTATTGTTTTTGCAGGTTCACCGGGACGCTCCCACCCTGTGGTTGAGGTGAGCGAGTGGGCCAGTCCAGGTACGGCAATCGCATCTGCTGGTGCGGCAGCACCGCTCACTGGACTACAATACACTATCGAAGCAGTCAATTTTCATCAGACAGACTCATCGTCATTGAATTCGGCAAACATTTCTGATGATGTTCTAGAACGTGACGTGTTCGCCGTGAGCCCGTCATCTGGAGTTGTGACTACTACACGGGAGCTTGACAGAGAACGTTGTTCCCGGTACAACATCACCATCTCAGCTAGAAATTTGGTACGGGAATAAATCATTTTCACTGAACATTGCAGAGTGCATGATAAGGTGATTTTAGTGGTAAAGTGACTTATGTAACCTGATTCATTTCATGCGACCTAACCATTAGATTTTCAAAGTTTTTTTTTGTCTAATTTATGGCCCTATAAACGTAGCTGCCCACCTTATGCCCAATGTGGTTCTACAGGTTTCCTTGAGGTATCGAAGAAAGCATTATCGAACATTTGATACGTCACTTTAATGGCATTTTGTCTTTTAATTGCAACCAATTTTAGAGAAAATTCTATGCAGAGATAACCGCCACACATGTCACACGTTCACAACCAAATTAACTTTGCGTGCCCATGCACTCACTTCAACTTGAGCCCACCATGAATCCAACGCTAGGATGGTTCACTCCTGTAGGTAAAGATAGAGTGTCTCAAAACGTCTCCGTCGGTTCTATTGCAAAATAGTGATACATTGCGAATTGTCTCAATCGAAAAAAGTCTAATGGTTTCTCAAGCTCATAGAAGTTATCGTCCATGATTGCTCCCGAGTCTCCTAGGTGAAACCCGCATTAGCAGCTAAAACGCTTCCAATACACTATTTTTGGTTCAGCCGCTAGGCTGCACTTTGAAACAACACCTTGAATCTTCTGTTCCAGTACTTTAGAAAAACTTTAAAAATGCAAAGATTTAACGTTAGGGCCGATTCCGCATATGCAGCCGACAGCTAAGACTTTATGTACGTAGGAATCACAAAAATTCTGACTACATCAGCTTCCAATCATCTGACTACAGCTTCCAAGCCTCCATTATCGACGTCTGCGTGGGGACCTCATTGAAGTATACAAATATACTCATGGCTTATACAAGGTCCCAGAAGGATTACTAGAATTTGAAACAAGAACCAACACCAGGGGCCACGGCTATAAACTAAAAAAACAGCGTTGGAACACATCCATGCGACAACATTTCTTCTCGCTTCGAGTCACCGACATGTGGAACAGCCTCCCTGATAGCATCGTTGAAGCTCCGAGTATGAACATCTTCAAAAACAGACTAGACGAAGCTATGCAGGAGCAAATGTTCAGTCTTAAAATACCTAGCAAATTACGGACCAGGCAATAAGTCCAGCAGCTATCTCAATCAATCGTCAGTTATGGAAAGATCGGGTTCCAAAGGCCGGATCCCTTGTGAATCAAGTCACGAAAAGTTCAAGAATCGGCAACAGGCCATGGGCCTATGTCTTCAACGCCGACACTTCTATTCTATTCTATTCTACATTCCGCGATGTGACCTTCGATCTGCCCACGAAACGTCCAGAACTTGAGCTAGCGCATGTCGTTGACCACACACCTGGCCTAATGAACGGGTCTTGGCCGGTATAAGGGAAGCTCCCAATCACGTAAAAAGATATAGAGTTCAATGAGTTCTTGATGGTGATTAGGTCCAGCCAGTGCGATAATCTAGAGCTCATAAATCTCGGACAGCTGAGCCTAAACGATGTGCCGTGACCGGCCCCTTCATTGTCCGCTAGACAAGGATCTCTGGTCCAGGCTTTGAACCACTATTCGTGAAATTGCTTGAACAGTTGGAGTCTGAAGAAGATCTAAAGCTGACCGATAATGCGACCGAGATTAAAAGTCCCAAGATGTGATGCCGGCAGACAAAGCTGGGAAACCTTCGTTTCAGCTTCTGTTCCAAGAGGCCACGTGCTCCGTTTATTCGTTCCCTTTTTTAAAATTTCATGTCGAAACACATCCATTCTACATCAGCCTCCAGAGCGCAATCTAAAAGAAAGGCATTCATACAGCCGCTTAATGTTTTTCTTGGCTTTTTTGTGCATATGGAAAACTCGGAAGTTGAGAAATAATTGCAGTGACTCCTTGGAAAGTGATCAATGTTTTCTGCTCCGGCACATCATGTGCTCGGTTGACGACCGGCTGTTGCCCACGCGTTCGGGTGGATCGTAACCAAGGCTTTGAGCCGTCTCTACACGTCCTATCTAAAGTGACGAAGAGACGAGGGTCGAGGGCTAATGACTTTTTTCTCTACAGTCTACTTCGTTAGGACAGTCGGAAGAAGTATCGTCAACGAGAGAGAAACGACTATGAAAACGACTGTGTAGTATAAAAATGAATCCTACGATATGACTACACTACTCCATTAGAACACCACTTTCCTCAAACCTGCGTTTGTCAAGCACCTTGTGAGTCAGTTAGGGATTGTGAAGTGAACGCTGCTGGAAATACAAACTGTAGAGAGCCTGATGCATCCAGATTGCAGAACAGTGTTCGAGTGCGAGAGGTACTTCCTTTCATAACCCGCCCGCCGTTTTCTGAATTTAATTCCTTTTTATCCTCTGAATGCCACAAAATATACAATAATAGACAAAATTCAACAAATGTGACAACCTGGTGACAACCTAGTTGACGCCAGCTATATTATTGAAGCGCATGCCACGCTACATATAACCTTGGCTGAAATTTTTGAGCCTATTACACTATAGTTGGCTAATACTAGTACTAACAAAACGCTTAGTTCCAGAAATAGTAAAAAATTTCTGCTAATCATTTCCAAAATTATGCAATCTTACGGTATTTCGAGATTCCATTACTTGGACGTGAAAAACATTTATATGTAACGCATTAATAGATTAATAGAATTAATTCCAATCTTATAAAAAAAAGCGTCATCCAAGCCTATGCAAGTTCGACTGTTATGCATATTTAAGAAATAGTGATGTAACGTAAATATAATAAAACAAATCTTTCTTCATCCCCTGATCTACGATCACTGACACGTTTTATCGTGTTAAATTCGTGTTTAATAAGCGGTGCCGCAAAAAAAGTATTAGCAATGGAAGCCAATTGCTAAATATTTACAATTTGTACTAAAATTGGTTTAGATGGCGTGATAAGACGTTTTTCAATGTTTAATACTGTACAATAATTTTGGATGGTAGTAAAGTATTTTATAATTCAAAACCACTCACATCTGTATATTTCCATCTGTATCTCACACAGGCTGGAATTTCGAGATCCACTTGGCTCCTCATCTCTGTCACCGACGAGAACGATCACAGACCGATATGGGACAAGATTCAGTACCGTGGGTATGTTTTTGAGACCGCAAATACTGGAGACCCTGTTCTCCTCTATCTCGATCACAGACTAGAAAAATCCGTCCATGATCCGAAGACTCCGAGTAAAGAACCTTACGTAATACAGAAAATTAATCGAGATGTAAATTTCACAGTTGCTAGCGATCTTCATGATGTTGTAACAAAGACATTTCCAAATCATCACATTTCGATTCCTAAAAATTACGATGTAACATCTAAAAACTACCCTTCATCCTACGCTACCATCGATGGTCACCTGGACGACGCAAATCCAGAACCTTTGACCGTTACAGCGTCCGATGCCGATGCAGGCGCCAACGGGAGAATTCATTACGAAATCCTCAAAAATAGTGCAGCTCGCAAGTTCTTCACCATCGACTCGATCACAGGTGAGTTCAACATTGGCTCCATACACTCGGGTTCAACCGCACAGAGCTGTCCCGATCACAATATAAATGCCTATAAGGGACTTCCAAGGCTCGTCATAGTTGCCTTTAATTAAGTAATACATAATACCGACTATAAATGCCATTCTACTAACCAATAAGCGAAAAAGACCTTACCAATTAATACAAAATTATGTCACTGAAAGACAGCGAAATAGTTCATACTTCATAACATAAAATTGCATTTACGTGCATACGTGTCCAATGAAGTGATGCACTTCGAATAAGATTAGTAATGTTTAAAATTGTGCATTTCAGGCTCGCTGCATCATCATCGCGCTGACCCCTAATTTTTTATCTTATTACGCTAACAGCCTAACATGTTACTCACGTTGCCACTGCTAAAATCTAGTTAGACGTTCGAAACTATTATGTTACTTTTTGCTTCGTCGAAGAGATTTTACATTCGCCTATGTTTTCTAAAGGATTCTGCCATTATATAGAATTTATTTACTAAGGCCCTCCGAAATCATTAATAGCAACTTTCAAATTTTTAATTATCTTCTGATATTTAAAACTAAGCGAATGATTACAAAAGCCTAAAGTGGAAAGACAACCCCTGAAGACCACGTGGTAGGGATTTTGTTAAAATCACTGTTCGCCTCTTTTTAATTCTCGTGATCTTCATGTTGGTTGCATATTATTGTTAATTACGAGTTCCCATCAATGTGGACGAGGTAATAATCAGTTCTCATTTAGCTTGACTTGTGATTCGTTTAAGAATTCAAATAATTATGATCACCTTCCTTGCGAATTTTTAGCTATGGTAAATTAAATTGTTACAGTAAATTTGCTCTGCATCTTTAATTATTCATTGAAGACTGTAAGGTTATTAGAAATTTGACGAGCTAAATTACCACAATGTCACCTTACTAGTCTTGCTCGGCCAAATTGGCTTCATCGCCGGAGCGAAGCGACATCGACTTTTTGTTCCATATATTTTAAAAACCATGCTGCTTCATCATTCCGGAACTTTTCAAAAAGTTGCTCATCCCACCGTTGAAAATAATAAAATCCGACTATAACTATTTGGCCTACTAGCGGAATATCTATTGATCTAATTTTCTCAATTATTAATTAGCTATTTTTAATAATACTGGTAAACGGTAAAACTTCTCTTATGAATTTTCTATCAATGACTTAATCTAATTTCAGGAGCCCTGAGAGTCGCAGGCAACCTGTCTTCTCTTGCCGGGAAAGAATTTAATATCAATGTCTGGGCATCTGACATGGGGTCGCCTCGTCTTCAAGCCCTGAATCCAGTTTCCGTCCACGTCTTTGTCAAAAAAGTGAACAGATTCCCACCACACTTTGAAAAAAAATTGTACGAAGTTCGGATTCAACTCCCTACCTTAACCGGAGTTAAAATTATGTGTTTAAAGGCCCATGATCCTGATGATTTTCGAGGAACAAAAATAAAATTTAAAGTACAAGAGTCATGGAAAACTCAGTTAAGGTATTACCTTCCTGCTCCAACGAAAACAAATCCTTTGCAAATAGACGAGATTGGATGCCTATTTATAAGTAATTCAAGAATTCTGAAAACGAATTTCAACACCTCAGTTGAGGTATCAGACGGACACTTCTCGACGTCAGCAACCATCAAGCTTTCATTGATCGAAGCAAATGAAACCTCGCTTATATTTACTCAAGAGAAATACTACGCCAATGTGCTTGAAAATTCCACGAAGCAAGTTAATCTTCTTTCAGTCCGAATACAGAATTTGTCCATGAATCATGAGGTACATTACAGCGTCTTGAATCCCAATGATTTCGTTGTTATCCGCCCCACTTCAGGGGTCATTCAAACAACGGGCAAGCCCTTTGATCGTGAGGACGCTGCTCAGTTCGCGGTCTTGGTCCAGGTGAGTATTTTCCATGAATGACGTGTGCATTTTTTCATTGCGAAATAAATTTCTGAAAGTAAATAGAATTGAAACATTTTATCCATATGTGACTTATTCAGTTTGCATCCTCAAATCCCTTACTTGTTATCAACATATTACTTGACATCATGGAAGGCAAGAGACGTATCTTCGGGTGCCGTGGGTAACGCTGTGGTAGAGTTGACAGTCCTCGACGTGAACGACAACGAGCCCGTATTTCTGTCGCAGCCTTACAACGCAGTTGTCCCGCTAACTGCCATCAAAGGTCACGTCGTGGCAAAGGTAAAGTATTAGTGATTTTTATTAATTCAAAGTACGAGGCATGTTTTTTTAATAAGGACCGTTTTGGAATTAAAAAAGACGTGCAAAGATATCGCAATAATATTATTTTTACATGAAAGCCTGTACTTAATCTACTTTTCTACATAATTTCCGTGAATATTGAGGCACTTGTCATAACGTGGCACCAGTTTATTAATACCCTCCTGATAAAATTCTGCCGCCTGACTTGGAGGTGAAATTCTGCTGAAATTCTGGATTCAGCTGAAATTAAGGTGAAATTCTGCTGAAATTCTGAATTCTGCTGAAATGGATGTGAAATTCTGCTGAAAAACGCCTGAAATTTCTTCTTTCTGACGAGTCAGGCGGCAGAATTTTATCAGGAGCTTATTCAAAAACTGGTGTCACGTTATGACAAGTGCCTCGATATTCACGGAAATTATGTAGAAAAGTAGTTTAAGATACAGGCTTTCATGTAAAATTAAATTATCGCGATTTCTTTGCACGTCTTTTTTTTTAATTCCAATACCGTCCTTACTTAAAAAACATGCCTCGTATTTGTATAGAAATTCTCTCTTCTCAGTTTCATCGTTATACATAGTGCATTTTTTTAATCAATTGGGACTATCTCTTTTTACTGCTGAGACTTCTATACGAGTTGAAAAAATATAAAAAACGCATAAAAAAACAAATGATTTACATTCATGTCAATAAATATTTATTCACATTTTCTGAGTCAATCATGGAGAGAAATTTTACATCACATTTTCAACTTGAAAATTCGACTGGAATTGGCTAGATGGACTTCAAAAAAAGTTCATTAAGTTTCAACTTCGCAAGATCAGACGATAATATTTTTTTGTTGTTATCAATGCTGAAATAAAGGAAAAATTTATTATATATGATCAATCAAGCGGTTCTACAAAGTTCAAGCACTAAAATGTTGCAGGTTAGCAATTCTAGCGAAGTTTCAATGAGAGGAATTAACTGTCATGCATAGATGGTGCAACAGACGACAAAAATACCCAGCACCACCTTTTGATTCACACATAGATACCATTGTGAGGATCATATTGTTGAGCAATTGTAAAACATAATTTCAGATTCTATTTTGAAATTGAATTGAATAGCATTTATAGAAGATAACTAACTTTATTGAATTTTCTTCGGATATTTCATTGATATTTTTAGTTTCTTTCAAGTAACGTTTTCCCAATTATATGCATATTTCAATTAAAGCTCCAATAAATCAAATAGCTCCCCTATAACGAGTTAAAAATGTTTTGGCAGACGGAAAGTATTAGTTGATTCTATCAACCAGTACTGGTGTTTTGTTAAAAAAATAATTTTCAGAATATTAGCTGACACTAACCACTTCATAGTATCAATATTCTGAAAAATGCTTTACCTTGTGATGAGTTTAGGACTTCGTAGTCCACGGTCACGCTGATGCGCCTCCTTCTTTGTGATCATTAAACTCCCCGATTCCCATGATGTAAGATAGAAAAGTATTGTGTCAGTTTAATCCTCAAACAAACTCGTAGGTGAAAGCAGTGGATGCAGACGAGGGAGATTTTGGACGCATTCGGTACGAGTTGGTGCGCGGCAGCGGCGAGCTGTTCACCGTGGACCGAGTGTCCGGTGAAGTCATCTTACGACAGCCGCTGGTCGCCCCAGACCGCACGCTGCACCTCGTCGTGGCGGCCTATGACGGCGGCACTCCGCCACTCAGCTCACAAGCACACGTCGCGCTAAGGTGAGGAGTGTTTTAAGTTACTTTTAACCTAGGAAATTGAGTTCGATTCACCTAAGGAACAGTGGCTTGTATTGCGGGGGCCAGAATAAGTAAATCAACTAATAACTACCCTGACCGTGTACGACGGTGGCACTCCACCACTCAGCTCACAAGCACACGTCGCGCTAAGGTGAGGAGTGTTTTAGGTTACTTTTAACCTAGGAAATTGCGTTTGATTCACCTAAAGAACTGGCTTGTATTGCGGGGGCCAGAATAAGTAAATCAACAAATAAACTACCCTGACCGTGCAATGAAGAAATGAAAAAACTTAGCTCCACTGGCATACTTAACCTCAAAAACTTAGCTCCACTGCCTCCAATAAACAAAAACTTAGCTCCACTGGCATATTATGCTCACAGACTTGTCCTTAATGAGCCTCTTTTGACGGTCTGAATAAATAGCTGGTTGTTGTCCTCAGGAAATATTTCAGAAAATGAAGTTATTTAATTCAATTGGTGAATGTTAACATAGAATTGATATTTCTGTTGTGGGAGTCAATCGGGCACGTTGTGTTCACCTCGTTCTCATTACTATCATTATAAAGTTTTTCCGTTTATAGGTCACATGAACTCGCCCTAAAAAATTCGTTGATGATCTTTTCTTCCATGAGTGAAGAGAATCAATTTTATTATGTAATAAAGTGACAGGAATAAAGCGCCAAGTTCTTTTTTCGTTGTATTAGTATTTTAACTACATAAAATTCTTTCCAAAAAATATAATAACAATTTTAATAATAACAAAATAATGTTAATATTCTAAATAAGATAAATTGTCTTAAACCATTTCGCTTGAAACCTCGATGCATGACTGCTCACGTAAGATTTGTAGCATTATATTTTTCAGGAAATAAAATATCTAATATTATTTAAAGTCGGTAATCATGAACAATTTGCTTTAGTAGAACCACTGCTCATTGCTTAATGCTGAAAACTCGTAATAGGTTGAAAATGGCTGAAAAATTGCGATAGGTTAGAGTAGTATCAGAAATGGTGTAATAACGTTAATAGAAAAAGGAATTTAAAAGAGGAGGTTCTGGTCAGAAGAAAAGAAGAGAACTGGTCAGATAGCGGTTAAAAATTAGGTATATTATATATAGTTGCTTAGATATGTTCCAACTGACATCTGTCTGTAAATGAAAATACATTCATCTGAATATATGTTCAACAAATTGCATACTTTTTCAAGTCGAATTAATTGGACAAATAACGAATCAACCAACAAAATTAGTACTGTAAGTAGACATATATACGAAGGCAATACGAAGAAATTTATGGACTGCCCAAAATACCACCACACCACCTCACTTTAATCCAATTTTAAAAGAGTTCTCGTCACGTTTCGAGTTCGCCTATAAATTTGAATCTGTCATGATTTGGAAAACTTTCACGCCCATATATGGTAGACAATATTTTTATTTATCGTAGGATCATTTCTCAAAGCAATCGTTTTTATTTGGAACCCCGCAGGATCGTGTCGTCGCCAGGCCCTGAATTTGACTGGAGCACATACAGCGCTGTTGTTCCGGAGGACGCCCCCGCTGGCACTGTTCTCAGCAGGGTTTTTGCTGTGGCTGATTCGGGCGTGCCACTGGTTTATAGCATCGTCGAGGGGGATCCTCAACATCTTTTCGGCCTCGACTTTTCAACGGGTAAGTTCAGCTTTTTTGCCCCGGAACTCCTAAGTATTGGATATTATTCATTAAGATGTCTACGGGAATGCAAGCCATTGAATAAAAAAAATAGATCACTACTCACTGCAGTGAGTGACTGAGAGCGCATTTCCTCGTCTGTCCGTCCGTGAAGTCACGGACGGACATGACGAGCACAATAGCGCCTTTTTTCCATAAATGAGAAAATGCGCTAGAACTTATCAAACTGGCGTACATATAGTTGTTGTCATACTTTGAATATGCCATTTATTCTGTTGGTGGACGAATATACAGATGCTAATAATAAATGTATCAAAGTTGCTGACAAGTCCACAGCACAATTTGGAACATTATAACACTACTTTGGAAAATAATTTGCACGAAACGGATTTGTGTGTCTACTGTCAGAAATTCGTTCTACTTTTGTGTTCTACTTGTATTGAAAAAATCCTAATTTCTTTGTTATTAATTGATTATAATCGTTACAATTGCCAAAAATTGCACCCCCACTCTGTAAAACTACTAATATTGCATTTAAATTTATCGAGTTGAAACCTAAATTAAACCAAATTAAAATGTATTCACACAAGGATTTACGAATACATCCCCAAAAAACGGCTTCATAAAACAAAACGCATGCTAGCATTAATATACGTATGGATTACCCTACATCATTAAACATTTACTGCTGTGAACACTGACAATAAACTATAAAGTGTACATCTCCAAAATTTCCTACGGTCTAATTAAGCTATGTTCTCAAACACACTAAAAAATTATGGGTTATTCATTGCACAAAAAATATTTATAATATATCAATAAATCTATGGGAAAAAATTCACTTCAGTGCAACCAAGCGAATACGAAAAGTAAAAAATTATTATCGGGCATGGACAAGCTCGTTCCAGTCATTTCCTCAAAAATTGATGATGGAACAAACTCGCATGTTTTCGGCTGACGTCCGGTGATGGGCGGTTTTCAGTTGGTCATCTCTTTGCACTCGCACTCCGGCCGAATGCAGAAGGCACTCAAAGGCCGACAGCTGAGTGATTTATGATGTAACCGTCTCCAGACTCCTTGAAGCGACAAAAAGACAGTAAAAAAATATAACTCAGTACTCACTGCGATGAGTGACAGAGAGCGCATTTTCTCGTCGACGAAAACTTGAGGTCACGGACGGACGGACAGACAGACAGACGGACATGGCGAGCACAAAAGTGCATTTTTTCCATAAATGAGAAAATGCGCTAAAAAGAACCCGACTGGCTCAACTAGTTTTGATTCTGTTCATGAAATAGCTACGCCAAATATTAGAAGAAACCTACGCGTCAAAAATTGTAAAAAGGCATACGCAGTATCGCCGGCATATCACGAAATTTGCCAATGCGATAATTGGTATTAGCATATTCTCAAGATCCCTAGGTGTTATTGCACAAGGATAGCAAACATACTGTTGACGTGGGATCAAAATTTCAGACGCTCATATCAATTCTCAAGTGTTACGTCCACAATCAATTTAAATCACAAGAACCATATCTAAAATCTTTGGTTGTTGCTTCCACTAATAAGCTATATAGAAACTCTTAAAACAATTAAATAAATACTTAAAAAACTTCGGTACGGGTCACATCCAAGAATCCCGGTTATACGTATATGCGTGACTGGTTCTTTTTATTCAAAAGAGAAGACGACCTTATATAATTCTTGAAGGAGAAGACAGGTTCAAAAAGGTCTTTCAAGGTCAAATAAGAGGACTGCCTCTTGAAAATTTATTTTTCGATTCGCTAACTCCGCCACGAGGAAACCATTTTCCAATATTTGTCAACAGAATTTTAATTTCTTTTTCAGTCAAGTGACGAGGAGTCAATGTTCATCATTGCAGTTTAACTATATTGTTGTCACGTTGAATCATTCAAACATTCCAGGCATCTCTGTGTTGGATAAATAGAGTTTTAATGCAATAAGTGATCACTGTTGATGGGACCACAGAAACAGGCGGTACTGAAAAATTCGATTTCAAAGCGGGTTATGACCAACAGTATTGAAGATGATAGATTTAAGAAGACAATGGGAATCACAGCCAAAATATTTCGATTCTGTGCAATTAATAACCATAAATTACATGCCACAATTCTATTATCCTAGTTAATTTGAAGGGGAAATACCTATTTATGACCTTTGTATTATTTTACACGCTGCCAGGAATGGACGCTGTTGGGTCTGTCTGTGAGTACAAGCACCTCTGACTGGTCGTTATAATATACTTCGTAGAGTTGAATATTGTTTAGTCACATGCGCACAAACAGGCGCATGCAAGCGACGTGGCATGGACACTTCACCAGATGTAAAATGGTTCTCCATTTTCACCTGCAAAGTTCTGTGGCTTATAAACACATAAGTGCTCTTTACCATAACGTCAAATGACCTAATTCTGTGTTAGAGCAGTTGCTCATCGAGGCTTGAATGGAACAGTTTCGGTCAGCGATGTCACAAGGAACAAAAATAATTTGGAAGTTTTATTTTCCTGTTTTCATGTTTGCCGTTGAAGTTGAAAATTTAGAATCTTGTATTCGCTTCATAATTTTTCTGTGCAACATTGTTGGCGTTTTCAAACGATATTATGCTTCAATCTTTATATAAATATCCTGTCTCTCCATCATATTTATCAAGAATGAAAAATTCCCTAATGTATAATTTGCAATTTATTCTTTAATTCAGGTGAGATTTAGTCAATATGATATCTTGATATTAACACTGAATTTGATTGTCTTCTAGATTTAGATTTTGGCATCCGGACTCATGATCATACTCACTTGAAATTTGTCTGACACCGAGACGTCGTTATCTACTCTCGATATAACAACCTATACACCCATAGAGCGTCTTTATATGCTTGTTCAAGAGATCGAATGTTCTTTATGTTGCCGATGAATAAACATCATATAGAGGAACCATAATCAACTTATGAATCAGCGCTCCGAAACAACTTCTCTGCATCAGGCTTCATTTTAATCTCAACTCTTCTTGCACAAGCAGGTGCAGGCAGAGTGATTTTTTGTGTTTTTCTAACTGACTTCCTTCACTTGAGCGGTATTAACCAATGCGTATTTGGCCTCGAATTATAACTATAGCGAGCCTTTCCTGACGTTCGGGACTAGCATCTGTTAAACTAATATGTATGTGAACGCTGAGCAGGCATCCTTCACACGATCGCGCCCCTGGACTTTGAGAGCAAGCGAGGTCATAACCTCACAGTTCGGGCGAGCGACCCTGTCTCTGGTGGATACACTGACACTCTGGTCGAAGTATCGGTGACTGATGTCAACGACAACAGACCTGCTTTTGAAGATGCTGGGCTGCACGCGGTCATCTATGAGGCCGCGGTGCCTGGCACAGTTATCACTAGAGTGGGTACAGGAAAATTTGCTGAAACATATTTTCAGCAAACTTTGAATGACACGTCATTTTGTTAGTTTTTTTTATTTGTTCGTTAGCTTACACGTAGGTTTTTAAATTAGGCTTGTGAAAAATAATTAGCAATTTCCCATTATTATAACCATCATAGTTCCGACATCGGACTTTGGCTTTCTAACTTGAGTTAGACAAACTATAGCATGTAGTAGTATAGTATAGTATTTTCGGCATTAAATAAATAGGCCTGGATAGGCCTGTCGCCGATTCTTGTACTTTTCTTGACTAGACTGGCCTTACGGACGGTAGATTTAAAATCGCTTCTAGATATCAGTTGTTCCGTAGGGTACGAGGCATTTTAAGACTGAACATATGCTCATGCATGGCCTTGTCTAGTCTGTTCTTGAACGCGTTCATACTCGGAGCGTCAACAATATCTTCAGGGAGGCTGTTCCACATGTCAGTGACTCGAAGCGAGAAGAAATGTTGTCGCGTAGATAAGTTGAACCGCAGTTTTTTTAGTATAGCTCTAATCATTTGCTTTGGGTTAATCACGGTGAGGTGTGTGTTAAGTTGGAGATAACATGAATCAGATTGTCTTTATTATTTTTCAAACAATTGATCAATCAAACAAACAATCCGCCATCTGCGGATTAGTACACTTGGATGTTTGACGTTGAAGTGATTTAGCCTGACTTCCAAAGAAAAGGCTAAGCTCTTCAGTTATGCTAACTAGTAAATTATTTTCAAATACAGCGGTCGCCCGCAATTTATACATGTTTTTCACCTATTTTTTATCTAGTTAAAAAGCCATTTCCGATTAAAAACTGTAACACAAATATCAGGCGAATAACTAGGCAATGCGCGCAGTGGAATATACAGGGTCCGCCATATTTATGGCAACGCAAGTTTTTTTTTGTTATTTCTTAATGAAACAAACAGGTGCATTGTTTTTTTTATTGGATGAGCTAGTAGCCAAGAATTACCTAAACAATTCTCGAACAAAGTGGATAATGCCTTTTACAGGAGATACCACAACTATTTTTGAGCTTAAACTACGTACTTCAGTTTAGATGGCGAAATGCCTGAAACGCGTTCGCTATAACTCTTGTCGGGCATTCAACACTCGGTCGAAACGCCCCGGATTAATCACCATGCTTCTCGATCGTTTCAACCCAGGTTGTTGAATGAATGGGTTAGTTGACTTCAGCTCGTTCTGAGAACTTTTACTTAATTTAATGCTGCCAATTTCATATCGAATGTCAGGTGCTTGCCCGGGATCCCGACACCGGCTTGGGCGGATTGGTCAGGTACTCTTGCATAGACGGCTGTGACGACGGACGTTTCGACGTCGCTTCTGACGAAGGCACCGTATCAGTGGCACGTCAACTCGATCGCGACTTCGACGCAGCCAAGAGGTTCATCAAAATATTGGCATCTGACGGTGGTTTGAAACCTCTTACATCGACCACGTCCGTCTTTATAACAGGTGTGCTAGAAATTACTAAGAAAATTCATCTTAATTTGGTTGAAAAAGCTTTGGAGACCAGATTTTAAGTGATACTTTCTGTGGTCTCTAAAGAGTTTTCAATGAAATTATGATGTATTTACATTTTACTTGATTTCCAATTCATGTTTGATTTTAATTTGCGATTCTAACAAATTAATTGTATGATAAAAATATTTGCGCTGGCATTTTATTTAACGAGCAATATGTGTGATAAGCTCTTCGAAATTCCGTATAATGATTCGATTGCATAAAAACAAAGTGTAATAAAGTTCACTATTATGAGATTTTACATCAGTAGAAACAATTTTAGCGTACTCTTTATACATGACTACAACGTACTGACATTAATTAGAGTGTTAGAATTTTTTGACTGGATCAAAAGAATTTAATTGATTGAGGATTTTCAACTTTGGTCTTGGTGATAAATTTCAATCGGACTTATTTAGTTGTTTTCTGCTGAGGTTTTCACTTTCTGATATTGAATTACCGTCAAGTAAGCCAAAAATATATTGGTGTTGTACTTTAATGTGCGCAAATACATTTCTTAGTTAGTTTCAGCAATGTAATCTACGAACAGTCGCAAATTCCCAAAGAATTCTTTTGTAACACTCGGAACTTTTTACGTATATACGGTCACTGTTAGGATGTAATTGCCCTTTCTTCGATTTAATAGTCATTTTTGAGCCTCTCTTCATTTTTTATTGGTACTAGGACACAGCCAAACTATTTATCAACCTTTAAATATTTATGGTGTAAACTATAGCTTTTTTATATCTTTTCACATTCTCTATAACATTTTTCCTACGACGTCGTACAGTCGAAGACTTCAACGACAACGCTCCTGTGTGGACCGATCAAGAATTCAGAGTCTTTGTGGCAATCGAGGCCGATGCTGGACAAGTGATAGCAAAAATCACGGCCCGAGACCCCGACGCATCTGACTTGAACAAACTAAGGTCCATAGTTTTATTAATTATCATTAATTTATCTATAATATTGATTATTGATGTTCTTTAACGATAACTTTTTAAAATAAAGTTCAAAATCGTAGTCTTCCAATTTCGCGGAATGATGTTTATTAGATTCAACAAGTATATAATTACTTTCTTCTACTTCCCATGTAACCAAATTTATTGTATTGTATAATATATTAAAAACTTTTATTTTCCTTCAAAACACCTGGCAACAATTGATATCGATCGAAACAGATTTATTTTGTTCAAAAATTCTTAAATTTACTTTAACAGTTTTACGGTAAAAATGCGTATCGCTCAATTTTTAATCATTTATTGCAGGTACCACATCAGTGGGGGAGACTACGAGCACGTATTTCTTCTACAAGAAAAAACAGGTTAGTATAATCGCTTCCAAGTATTTATTCTCAAGTTATCTAATTTCTTAACAGTTCTTCTAACTTAAAGCTCTCTGATATACAAATTTTGACTGCTGTGACAAATTTGGACAAAAAAGTATGAATAACGCTCATCACACAAAAAGTTCACGTGCTTCTGAGAAGAAGATTCTTTGCAGGTAGCGGTGCAATACATAGATTTATTATGCGTGTAGTTTCATTTATGTCGATTCTTATGCTGTTTATAATCACCTTAAGCGTGTCCTTGCGTAGACATCATTCACAATTTTTAATTTCGGCCTGCGATTCCACAAGAGTGGCACGTGATTATGCTGTGTTGGTTAATTACTTGAGATTGATTTGTCCGTATTGTTTTATTGGATTTATTTTACTATTATCAAATTTTTGTATTGAAGAATTCATACTTGAAAGTGCAACTATAGTGATAGATTAACGCTTTGGAGAAACAGATTTTCGTTAAATGCCGGATTTTAGTTACCACAGTAATCTAGATTAAGTTTTATTCATCAGGTCGGACGGTTAACACAAGTTTAATTCGTAAATAAAAGTAGTGTATTGTTCTAAAAAAAGACGGAGACGACGGAGTGTGTACACGATAATAATTTTCATTTGGTCATTAGATCGTTTCTTGAAAGTATGATAGTATATTACTGCTACTTTGAACCTGCCAAATAAAAATTAGAAGTCTTTTAACTCATTTTGCGATAATTTAGTGATAATTTCTACGACGATTCGAGAGTGTTATACACACATGAAGTAGCTAAAATACGAAATAATTCTGATATTTTTTTTGTAATATTGGATCAAAACTTAGTGAGTTTAATACGTCACTGAATTGATTGAATACACGAATTAGATCTTCTTGCTTTGTCTGGACTATTGAAATATTTTCAAGTAATACATTGTTTAAAATGTCCCTGGACCTTCTCAATGACCATGCTTTATTATTTATTCCGACTTAATCTTCATCAAATCAAATGACCTAGATAAATTTAACGTTTTTTATTCAACCCAATCCCATTCTGCTGTGCAGGCGTCCTGTCAGTTGTGTCACCGCATAAGCTCGTCAGCGGGTCGCTCGTGTCGCTAAATGTAACCGTCAGCGACGGTGTACATGCGGTGGCCAACTCACTCAATATAAACGTGCTTCCATCTAACAGCCATTCTCCGAGGTTTGTCGACTGTTAAGTTACCATATTTTATACATTATAGCCGTGGTGTATACATTGCGTTGCTTACATAGAGCCTAGGCAAGTTTATTACACGGGAAACTCCATTCCGACAATATATTATTGTCTATCAAGCTAATAAATGTTCCTTTCGGGTATTGTGATAAGTCCCTTGAAACCTTTCTAGCTAATCGACTTTTCTTATTAACGTCTGGATTTAGGTTTGCGAAGGATCGTTTCGATGGGACAGTTCCAGAAAACGTGCCCCCAGGCACGCTCATCTTGCGCCTAGAAGTTGAAGACGACGACCAGGACATCTTTGGTCGTGTGCACTTTACTCTCTTCGATAATTTCTTCGCAGGCACCTTTGCTCTTGATGCCAAAGGTAAAAAACCAGTCGCAAATTTTCAAAATCATCTTTTTACTTTCCATAAACTGAATATTAACATAAACTGAATAATATTTATTCGTGTAAGAACGAGGGCACAACTGCGATAAATAAATTTTGACTCCTGATTTAAGCCTGCTTACTTGAGCAAGCAGCGGAGGAAAAAGATTATATTTTTCATTAGTCTCAGCTGATTGACATGTTTCGGTGTGAATTTAAGATAATGAGGAAGATAAGACGTGGCTCAGAGGGGAAAAAAGTGCTAGGTGTATCATGAATTTAGCGTTTTGGTGTTTGGAATAGGGCTGGGAAATGTTGTGTTTTGGTGTTTGGAATAGTAGCGTTAGTCCCAATTAGACATTTGTTTTTTGATTATGATTTACTTTTTGATGGCTTGTGTTTTAGTGCTGCATGTATGGCATATGATTTTCGTTAATTTTTTTTATTTGAGACAATCCTACAGCCGTTTTCCTGGCTAGCGGTAAATTCATGACAATTACCAACTTTCCGGGTCAGGAAATCGCATACGATACCGAGACAAGACCAGAAGTTCTGAACGTATTGATATTTAAAATGAATTTTTCTCTAAACATACATTTTTTACAACATGACAATACATTACGAGTCATGCCAATTATTCTTCAGTGTAAATTTTTAATTACTAATTTTTTATAGTCGTTTCTTGATTAACAGTCAATCTGTTTCCAAAATTTCAGACATTAAAATATGTAAAATATTGCCGCCGATGCCGGTCTACTAAACGGGAACAGATTTAGAGAGCCAGAAAACCCCCGTACATCAGCTCCCCTGAGCGGCTGGCTCATGAACGCCACGTCATGCACCAACCCGAGCCGATGCAATTAGAGGCGATTTTTTGAGGTGTTTCAGATAAAATTAAGGCGTGAGGAAGGTTTTAATGCTATATCATTAAAGCAGCCATACATTCTCGAGTTGATAATGCAACTTTCCAAACCCAGTTGTGTTGGCAGCCTAATTCCACCACATGTGCCCAATAATTATGTGTTTAATATATAATTGCACGTTCGGAATTACTCGTTTTGCCTTGTATCGTAATTAAATGTCTCGTCAAAACTCGAATCGTTATTGTGCATATTGTATGTTTCTTTTTGAACTCATCTGTCCCGAAAGCTTTCATAATGTCAGGGTAACAATTCAATTATGTTGTTTACCATTTTCTCTGTTTCTTGTCATTTGCTTCCGAGATATTTCTCGTTTCGTTTCAATGTCTCGCATTAATTTACTTAAAAGATTCCGAGAATATCATTTTGCTTAACCCGGGGGTAATTTCAATATCAGGTGAAATTATGAAATTATCAAATGTATGTCTTCGGCAATTGATCAACTTTGGTTCTCCATGTTCTCGCAGGAAGGCTCTACTCAAAAATACCACTGGACCGGGAGACTATAAGCTCATACTCTTTGGTAGTCTCAGCTACCGACGGTGGGGGAAAGCAAGACTACTGTAAAGTGTTTGTGCATGTCGAGGACCGTAATGATAACCCTCCTGCCTTCAGTCTGCCCGAGTATCAAGCTGACGTGAGCGAGGACTCTGGCGCCGGTCAAATAATTCTAAAGGTAATAGAATAGAATAGAATAGAAGTGTCGCACTGAAGAAATAGGCTCATGGCCTGTTGCCTATTCTTATATTTATATATACTTTTCGTGACTTGATTTGACTATCCGCATGAGTGGCATGACTTGCTTGTATTTATTACCTTTCGTATTAATTTTTGCTTCCATGAATTATTACGTATTTTATTTCGTTTTTTTCGAATGTACATGAAGAGATGGTATTTATTTGCACATTGTTACTTCTGTGTATTGTGCAATGATTGATGCATAGATTGAACAAGATTTTGCTCCGATAACATTCTGCTCAATATTAGTCCTCGAACGAAGTCAGGGCTGAAGGCGTTAACTTTCAGAATTAACTACACGTGACCGTTAGCTAGTCACCGGAACATAATCAACTGGTTCTTTTGTTTCTCTGCGGTCAAATTTTTATTGCTGATCAAATTTTCATGAATCATGAAGAAAACACTGAGTGATAATGGGTAATGTTAATATTCTACAAATTACTGATTCAGTAAAGACTTGGTAATTTAGCATGAATAACCTGACTGAGTGTTAGAATGTAGAGATATTTAAAATGATCGTCATCTAAAGCACTTGTGTTTCTTTCCTAGCTTAACGCCCAGGACCCTGACGAAGGTATTAACAGCGAAGTGACCTATCAGATTTACAAGATTGGTACCACCGAAACCATGGACCTCTTCCATCTCGACTCCGCGTCTGGAGAGCTGTCACTCTTACGTCCCATTATTGGCCTCGGTATGGAATAGCGATTCTTTAACACGGGAATATCTCTGAAACGTGCTGGGCCATAATCGATCTTAAAAATGATCAAGGTGTATCAGAAATATTTTATTTTGAACAACTCATTAAGACAGGGTTTTCTCCGGTCTTGTATTAATATACCGTCTTCCTTTTTGGGATGTATCTCGGAACATTGGTTTCATGTTGATGTAAGTTTATAGTTTCGATTGTTATAACGAAGAAAATACTTCTGTCGTATTATATTGCTCAATTTAATTTCTTAGGTTTTTTTATTGAAACCTAAATATGTAAACATTTTCAGTTCATTTTATGGCGAGAATTTAGAACTGCGTGTACCGTTGATTTAAAAATGATATTTGTATGAAAAAGGCTTAAAATACAGTGTGATGTCTCTATATAAGTCTCAATCCCAAGCCAGTCATTAATAGTGATAAAAATGTTTAATAATTGGAACCTACTTAAATGTGTGAACTTGATATTTATGTATAAAAATATTCATGGGTAACAACTGGATGAAGAGAGGTTTGTTTCGTTTTCATTTCGAACCGTTCGTATCAGTTTCATTTAATACTGCCGCATAATACTTTCCACCATACATAATTTAAAACTTTCCACCAGGGGGCGCAGTGTTCCAGATGTTCGTACGCGCTACAGACCGCGGGGTTCCAGCGCAACACTCTGACGTGCCAGTGACTGTATTCATCCATGCACCCGTCGCCAGCCTCCCTCATTGCCCTCTCACACACGCTCAGTTCTTCATATCGGAAGACGCGCCAAAAGGTAAGCAATGAAACACATATTTAAATTTATGAACTTTATATTTATGTATAAGAATATTCATGAAAAATAACTCATGAATGAAAGAATTCATGAATGAAAGATAAAGGCATTAAGAATGAAAAATATAACTCAGTACTCACTGCAGTGAGTGACAGAAAGCGCATTTTCTCGTCGACGAAAACGTGAAGTCACGGACGGACAGACAGACAGACGGACAGATGGACGGACGGACATGGCGAGCACAATAGCGCCTTTTTTCCATAACTGAGAAAATGCGCTAAAAAGTGTTTCAAGACAGGGGGTCAATAATTTCTCTCAGGGTACAACACAAATTCTCAAATTACCTGTCTTGTTCCAGGAACCGTTGTGACGTCGCTCTGGGTGAGCGGGCCTCTATTGGTGAAATACTCGATCACGGACAGCTACCTGACGGGTTCTCGTGGCATAAACGATGACAGCACCCTAGCTGAAATAGGCACGTATTGTTCTGTAATATGCCCTTCATGGTCCATCTTATGCGTAGTTAAAAAAATAATAATGATAATTTTAAAGCTGCCTAGCACATACCATTCGAAAAACAGCAAGCCTCAGAACTGATTACTGTTTCAAAAAAATTTAATTATGAACAAAAAGCATTTAAATTTATCATTCAATCTGATTTTTATTCAGTTTTCACTGTAACCAGTACCGGAATCTAGAATAAATATTGCCGGGCGTTTTTACGTTAGGTAGACCAACGCTCAAGTTGTTACGTTGAATACTCGTTTTTCGCAACTATTCTGGGAGAAAACAATAGAATAATGTTTACTGGTAAAAAACAGTTCGGGTCACTATAGAGCAACCTTCACTGTGGAAGCCGTGTAACCACAAGAAAGATCCTCCGATACGTACGTTAGCCAGACGTTGAATTTTTGTGAGGACGCAGACCGTTTCGTCATAAATTCAGTTACCACACATGTTTTTTTGAATGATTTTGTGAATTTCGGGAATATCGTAGGTTGCATCTCTCATTTTTGCCTTGTAATCCTCCGTTGTAACCCTCGTGCTCCTGATTTCGTCCATTCCAAACACTGTAATCATCTTACAGTTTGCTTGACGATGCAAGTTTGCCGTGCCTTGACTACAATGCGCCGCAGCAAAGAGAGTGCATGTTTCTCTAAAAGAATCCTACCACTTCATGCACATGCTTGCGTATATGCCAGACCCACCGCGCATTCGGGTTCAATTGAAATTAATGCGTCGGGCACGCATGTAACGCTTTGTGTATGTGTTGGAACTACCAATGGTTAAATAAATGTGCCAAGAGCAAGATTTTTAAAATCGGACGAGAAATAATTCAATGCTGAATAACAACATTTGGTTTCAGATTAAATGTTTTTACCTCATAAGGGATGCTGCGTAAGCGTGGGTGAGGTGTGTGTGCGTGTTTAAGAGCCTGTGTGAGCTTTGAGCGTGACTCACTGCTTGTGTATAAGATTTATTGCGCACATAGATATAAAACAAAAGCACTGCAATACCATTCTAGCAGACCCCATTCCCAAACGAAATTCAGAAGCGGACCCGACTCTGAAATAGGTAACGCATAGGACTCGGGGAGCACGTAAATCAGCTTCTCTATGTCCGCTTTTTGGTCAACTTTTCGCCTCCAAGTCAGACAGCTACGAGAGTCTGGTCCCGACTCTGGCGGCCACTGAGCGGTACGTATTGGGCCCATCCCCGCATCCGGGGCAGCTCTGGCCGAGCCTGCCAATGTGATAAAAAAAACACCCCCGCTCATATCCTCCGCAGTTAGAGGAAGGGAAGGTTACCTGGCTATGATGTGATCGATGGTAAAAGAGTGAGAGGTATCATTCACTCCTGACCATGCGTGTGCAGGCAAGCCCTGTGAGAGCAGTGGACGCTCAAGCAAAATCTTCTCGATCGCGTGCTTCTACTTTCGATTCTTAATTTCTGTAGCACTGTAGTCTTTCCTACAATAAAGTTGACCTATAGAAATGTTGGAATTAAGTTTAGATGAAAATGTTCTCGCACAACAACCGGCGCGTTGAGTCCTCTCCTTGTGGTAGAAAATGCAACGGCTTTCTGTCGCCTGTCCCGCATCGGTCGCAGTTATTTATAAGATCATAACACTACAAAGTATTATATTTTTGACGTAATTTCTTTTCGGCAGGTGCCACCTCTGCTGATGCTGAGCAGCAGCAACACTTTGCTATTACTCCTTCAGGACACGTGATTCTTCAGAAACCTCTGGATAGGGAAATTCGTCCACTATATACAATTAATGTGATGAATAGCACATTAACGGAACCACCCGCGTTGGATTACATGACGCTCTCTGTCATTGTGAGTGTCTTATAATTCTTTGAAATATCTGTTGGATTATCAGAACAATCTTAACCCCTGCTGATTGAAATAATCTGAACAAAGCGTAAATCAATATTCACATTACGCCTCGAAAAACGCAACTGGCATGTGTGTTTTCAAGTTGACAATTTGTTCCGACATATTTGGTCTTTTAATCTGTACAATGCTTTTTATTTTGTCTTTTATTTCATTATTTGTAATTTAATTTGTCTGACTTAGGTAATCAAGCTTTATTATACGCGCGTTAGTTAATTTTTTAACTTCTAGATTGCTGCAATAAATGTGACTGTTTTCATCGGCATGATCTACAGTGTGTCGTTTTTAAGTTAAAACTAAAGAAAGTGGACAAAATAATGCATGAAAATAGAAATTTGCTCCATATTCATGTGTTGCTATATTGCATGATGCCTGCACTTGAAATATGACCTCAAATCAACTATTTTTCCAAATTCCTATGCGTGTTTTACTAGACTTATCTAGCTGTATAAGTGTTATTAATTTATTTGAATTATATGCAGGTCTTGGACGCAAATGACAACGCTCCTCGTTTTTGCTCCTCGTCGTACTCCTCAAGTCTCCCTGAGAACACCGACGTGGGTAGCACAGTCCTGTTGTTCAGCGCCTCTGACCCAGACGCGGGCGTCAATGCGCAGGTGCCATGAAACTTCAGTTATACTATTGGGACCTTGTTATGTTGTTACTCTCTTATTGGTAGAGTAATATCAGATTTTTTTTAGTTCGTATCCGATGCGTTAAATTTTTGCGCAACTTACAGGAGAATGTAGAGGTGATGAATATTCCAAAAATGTGTCCACTGTTTACCACGCCTTCTTTCCCATGTAGCTATAAGTAACATACATTTATTATAACATAGAGACTAATTTTTTTACTTAGTCAATCTAAATGCTACTTCGACAAAGATAATTGTTAACTTGCTCATTCCCGTGGGAGCCTGTAACACCTAATCCATCACGCCTCTTGTGAAGAATATTGGATATTAACTTGGAATCGAAATTCGTCGAAATTGAAAATGCATTATAGTATGAACAATAATTTTTGCTGTGACCAGTAATAATTATAATAATATACATGTATATAGTAATAATATGAATCGATTATTATAAAATTATTAATATTAATATTATTAATTTATAATCGATAATTTTATAATATTATATAATCGATCCCACTAATTATAGTTTGAACAAAATGCAGTTACCTCACTGTGTCATGCTTATATAACTTCATTAGCTCCTGCATTCGGCGTCATTTATCATATTATGACCAAAAACATGATTAAAAGATTTTGGATTAGAAAACAAAATAGCGTTTTTCTAAAGATTTTTTCACAATTTTTTGAGCAAGGAAGCGTAATTATAGATTTCTTCCTTTTCAGATCCAATACGGCTTCGCAGATGACACCACATCAGATGTCCGAGAGATGTTTCAAGTGTCTCCTACGTCCGGTGCCCTGATTCTTATCTCCCCGTTGGACAGGGAGTCTGTTCAGCAGTATAAGTTTACTGTGATCGTTTCCGATGCAGGACTTGAACCTCAATCAAGTTCAGCTTCTGTGCAAATTTTGGTTACAGACGTGAATGATAATCCACCCATCTTTAATGAAGACTTTTATCGAGCGTCAGGTAACATGTACTGGAATTTAGAAGCTGAATATAAACTATTGAGTTAAGACCTTACCGTTGAAACAGCAAAATCAGATATTATTCTTGATGAAGAACTATCAAATGCATGTTTCCTTGATAATTTCTTCACTGATATTAATGTAAAAGGTAAATCTGCTAAAGGCCCTTGCGCTAGATATTCATAACGTTTGCACTCGTTAATGCATTCCTTGTTTCTGGACAGTTTCCGAAGGAGCTCCTCTCGGCTTCTCGATCCTAACCCTCTCGATGTCTGACGCCGATGAGAAGCAATCAAATACAAATTTCTTCATCACCGCAGGAGACCCTGGCGCCAATTTTTTAATTAAACCCACTGGAGAGGCGAGTGCTTTGTTCTGTTCAATTAATACAATTAATGGAACGTAAGAACCGTGCTCGATCATTGGTGGAATCGCACAACTCCATCGGCGAGACTTGGCATCTGATTCTATTTTGAACAGATAGCAGAGACAATATTCTCAATGACGCTAAGCTACTAAAACAAATTTAAGAGTTTAATTAGTAGCCATGTTACAATTTTTTTATAGCCGTTTTTAAAACCGTTTGTATTTGGCCTGTGCGCTTGGTAAATGCAGATCTCATGCAACTGTTCTCGGAATTCAACTCTCATTCAATGGTTGATACAAACAAATTTTGAACTAGATTTTGACCAAATATTGACCTAACAGTTAATTGACTCTGGAGCAAACTTGTCGGCTAAGATGATTGCCTCTACCAGATTTCCCCATTCACTTAGTTAAGTTGAGAGGAATCGTGGCTGGCAAAATGGTCTCGTAACGAACTATTCTTTATTGCTATACCCACAATTATGTAATTCGATCGTCTTAATTAAATATATACCTAGTTTACATTTAATGTCGTATTTCAAGCAAAACAAGATTAATTTGTTAATTAGTAGCGGCAAGATTACCCGAAATAGCAACTAACAAGGCTCGCGTTCAAATATCATATGGTTATTTAATAACGCTTTTTAATTCAACAGCAGACCAGAATCAAAAACATAAATCGATGCTTCCTGAATCTTACAAATCGGTGCCAAGTTTATCATTCTTTAACATTACTTCGGCTACAGGGGAAATCTAACTGAGTGGCATATGTGATGTCGACACTATTTAAAAACTAAAAAAAATAAGTGGTCTGCACTATGCAGTCAAGTATTTGATCAACATCACGGTCTAAATTTTAAAAAATTAGCTTAGTGAATTTGATCTGCTGATATATGGATTACAGGTCATCGTTGCTCGATTACTGGACCGGGAGAATCAAGATCAGTTCATTTTGCACGTTTCGGCGACAGACGGCAGATTCACAGCGAACACAACCGTTAGCATCGATGTACTTGATATCAATGGTGAGTTATTCACAATAATCACAACACTAACTCTATTTAAAACAACTAAATATTTTTTCACAATAGTGATTACTAATTTTGTATATTTTCCCATGAACTTTTGATTACTAGCACTCGTAACAGCCCATTGGTTTGCCACTTAGATTTAAACTAAATCATTAAATTGGTTAGTGATAATAATTCACTCATCGTTCATCTGTGCTGTAGAATAAAGTCGCTTACTCATTGGATCGATTCTCTGATGGAAAGGATTAAGAGGAGGCCTAATCAGAATGTAATTAAAGGCATTAATAAAGTCACTTTTCTAAAATGAAAGCGATGATCCTAAACGATTTATTGTTATCAGATAACGGCCCAGTTTGCGTTGAACGCGTCTTGCACCAAAACATCTCAGAAGACGCAGCAATAGGAACTTATGTCACGACCGTAGCGGCCTGGGACACCGACACGGCCCTCTACAGCCGTACCAGGTGACGTGAATGTTGGATGCAAACTCGATTATCGAAAAGTTCTCACAAATTCATCTGGTCTGCTTTAATATTTTAATCCATTTCTTTGAACATCAACTATATCCTCTGCCATACAGAAAAGGAATTATCCTTCAGCATCGACCGAAAACGCTAGACAAAAATTTAAAATCAGTACCTTTCTAATGACCAAACATTTTCTGAAATATGTCAATGTTATGTTACAAGTTATTTAAATGATACTTCAAGCACAAATGAGCAATATCAACACCACAGAAGAAAGCGTGGATCTACGATTTCTTTTGAATTCAGTTTAAGTGTTAGACGTTGGAATAAAACGCTGGTTATTTCAAATTTTCGAATTGATTGAAAAAAAAATCAGCATTGCTAAGCCTGGATTTCATTTGAACAGAAAAAAGAAGACCATATTGGTCAGCCAAGTGAAGCGTTTCATGGACCGAAATCAATTAATTTCTCTCAAAAATACTCATTGAAATACTCATTGAAACGCATAGTTGTAAGTGTTTTATTTAGTGGATAAGGCTATGGCAGTTAGACTGAAATTCATGTAAGGAAAATAACTAATAGTTAATATCAACAAATAAATAGGTTGCAACGGAATCTAAATGAATGCATGCAGTATCATTTTCATGATTATAGTTCAAAAATGTTAACAAATCCGTAGAATTCTACTCGTATACATTATTATACACGAAAAAAAAAACCTCGTACACTGATTGGACCTTGCTTCAAGTTCAACTGTGAATTATATGTTGAAGAATCCCCTCCCAGCTAAATTTTTCTTTAATATAAGTTAATTAGTCGGAAATACGTTCATATAACATTGTACCATCACCACTACAAAGACAGAAGTGCCAAACGAGTTCCTATTGTTTTGACAGCATTCATTCAAATATACCTGGAAAATAGCTGTGCGGGAAAAGAAAATTATATGGCTGCGCAATCCATAGAGCTCAGCCATGGTATGTGCAAACATAGAAGATAAAACTAACTTTATTCAAGGTATAATTTTTCTTAAAATTTTTTCAGATTTTCTCTCGCCGGTGAGGGTTCATTGCATTTCTCTATTGACGAGCACACCGGTCAGATTGTGACAGCTAACCTACTGGATCGTGAATCTCAAGATGAATACCATTTTTTGGTGAGTAAATTTAGGAAACTTGATCGAATTAATTTTCTGGAAATTATTCATTCACATATGTTCTTCCATCATTACACGCCCCAAAATTTAGTCATTGATGCCGTTTACCGACTGAGTTTTATTATATTAGAATTAATTGATAGTGTTCCTAATTTTAATCATAAAAATCTGTTAATGTTGTATTAAATTTGTTTATTTAACAATTTGTAGCATAGCTCTCACCACTCTTGGGGCTGTACATTTCTCTGTATCAATACAAACACTTAAAGTCAATTATGAAGGAGTGAAAATCTTCATTCTCTCATCGGCTGTTCGCTGTTAGCAACCAACTCTTATTTTAACCTGAGGTGCAGAGTTCATGAAATTATGGAAGTTTATGACTAATAATGACGAAGAGGCTGTAACTTGAAGCACTTGAACTCGAACCCAACCCTCATATAGGACCGTGGAAACGACGACTGATCTATTCTCTTCTTAGATTCTTTAATTGTTGTTCACAAATCTTTACCCTAACAGCACATCTTCTATCATTGAAAAATGAACCGTCTACCATCCCAATGATGCATTATAATGAATGCAGTTGATATCAAAGCCATAAATAAAAAAATCTTGGATAGCAGCCGTTTTGGTTGCAAGTAACTTTTGTAACTTTGCAAGTAACTTTTGCAGGTTACTTGCAATTTTTTTGGTTGCATGTAACTTTTGCAAGTTGCAAAACACTGAGGTTTTTCCAATTCTTATGCAACACAGTCCATTGCGTCAGACTGGGAGCAACACGAGTGGCAATGTTCAGTGGAGGTTCACATCTTCATCACAGACGTGAACGACAACCCGCCAGAGTTCCAACTACACCAATACTCCCTGAATATACCTGAAGACTTCCCTCTCCACGGCGCCATTGCCAGGGTCATCGCAAGAGACCCTGACTTAGGTAAAAGTTTTGTTAGAGAGCAAGAGGAATTACATTAACGTTCAGTGAATGTGCGGCCTAGTAGAAAAATGCTAAAATTGAATGTGTGTGAGTCTTTCGTGCTAATGCCTATAATGTTCAGTGCCTTATAAGTCTTAGATTAACATTTAGAGCCCTGGGGTCATACTTTCGAAACTCGCTAAGTGAACGTTAGTACTTACGCTCTATTTTCTTACTTATGATTGGTGGATTTTGCTTGAAAGGCTGTCAATGATTGGCTGATGAACTTACGATCTCTTAACTTTTTTTGAAAGTATAGGCCCTGATGTAATTCATTCACAGAAACTTTTGGTTTCAAATAAATTAAACAACTTCGCTTGCCTAATAAAATAATCACTCGCCAATTAAAAGCTTGTTATTTGAGAATCACTCAAATTTTGAAACTTCTTTTTCCTTGTATGAATTTTTCAGGACTTTAAATCGTATCAATTATTTTTTCGCTGAAAAAGCGGAATTTTTATCAAATCAAAATGTGATTTACGATTTAATTATCAAAAATATCTTTCAAATTAAGTAATTGGTAAACTTTTTCAAAAGAAAAAAAACATTGAAAACTTTTTGAAGCAAACATCTATCTTGATGAACCTTATGAAAGTTTAGAGAGTGTAGAGTGTACAAATACGTGTACAAGAGTGTATAAATACGTACTACTACGGTAATAATAATACGGTAATACGTACGTACTACAAATACGTACTGTACATACGTACTAGAGTGTACAAATACGTATGAGAGATTCAACTATTTTACTCCACCAGTATTTCGAGAAAATGAATGTAGGTGCTTGCACGTCCAGAATGATACCCAAGATCCCAAAAAGATTTAAAAAGTTTTCCTAATGCTCTAGCGACTAGCCAGTGCCATTCTCATCTATTCTGTCTCTCATTAATCCTGTCGAGAGTATGCGTGTAAAATTGTTCTGTTCATTTTAAATTTAAAACCCTTACTAATACTCTAATAAGCAAATCAATTCAGTTTTCCAGATCCTATTTCCTCTGTGATTAACCTGTTTGAATATGGAGGAGTAACTTCTTGCATTACACAGATAACTTAGTTCGGCATCCATCATATGACGCTCGTGAGATTTAGTTACTATAACTGAATCTTTTTGATAGCATATGTCATTGTGGGTCTTTATAAACGTTCAATTACCCAGACTGGAATTAAATATCTGAACACGAAACCTTTTTTTTCATTTCGTTGTTGTAATTTTACTATAAAAAATTTTCAGATCGGAACAAGCAAGTGGGCTACAGTCTTCAAGAAACTGACGAAAGAATATTCTCGATCAGTCCTACTCAGGGGCTTGTTAAGCTGGACATGCCACTGGACCGGGAGAGACAAGACAGATACACAATTACCGTTTGGGCGCACGACAAAGGCGATCCTCCAATGTCTTCCTCGGCAAAAGTTGTTATCTCTGTAGTCGGTGAGATGTCATGTATCTTATCTTTCCTGTCACGTATCTTATCTCTCATGTCATGTAGCTTATCTCTCCTGTCGTGTATCTTATCTCTCGTAGTGTATCTTATCTCTCCTGTCATGTGTCTTATCTCTCCTGTCATGTATCTTATTTCTCCTGTCACGCATCTTATCTCTCATGTCATGTATCTTATCTCTCCTGTCATGTATCTTATCTCTCCTGTCATGTGTCTTATCTCTCTTGTCATGTGTCTTATCTCTCATGTCATGTATCTTGTCTCTCCTGTCATGTGTCTTATCTCTCCTGTCATGTGTCTTATCTCTCCTGCCATGTATCTTATCTTTTCTGTCATGTATCTTATCTCTCCTGTCATGTATCTTATCTGCCCTGTCATGTATCTTATCTCTCCTACGACGTACAGTCACTGTCGAGTTGCTACTCGCATTATGATCGCACCCAAGATCAATCACTCTCATTTAAACTCATTAATTAATATTAGCATTATTAAACATTAATTATTAATTATTAAACATTATTATTAAACATTAATTAATTAATCATTAGCATTAATTATAAACGATCATTAATTAATGATAATTTAAACTGAACTGAAGTCAAAATCATCTTTCATGCAAAATTTTTCAGAGTGAATCTTTAAGGAAATATTTTTATTCATGAGCTGCTGCATATTTTGAACATTTTCCATCAAACCCATATGCGAGAACATGTCATACGCAACATTTATCCTAATGTGTTACACTCATCTCTTTAATTTTTTACCAATTCATCGTTCTATATGCATGTCTTTGGCAGTTTCCAATTTTGTATTATTACCGTAATATCTCATTCTTTAGATAGGCATTCGGCACGGATCTAAAAATCAGCTATGCCCAATCAAATTTTGACTGTGATTATAACTTATCTTTGAATTTACTTCTGTAGATCGCTTTAAAGGATTTTTAATACATTGTTCAACATTTTCGATCAATTACTTTAATTTACTGGAAACTACATTTGAAAGTGCTAGAATGATGGTCGTTTCCTTTTCTCATCTTCAGATGTGAATGATAACCCACCCGAGTTTCTGCATCGAATTCTTCACATCGACGTCGCTGAGAACTCTGCTTTGGGCACGGAAATCGCCAGGGTTGTGGCCACGTCCAAAGACATCGGCGTTAATGGAGATATTTCCTACAGTCTTCAGTCAGTCAGCGAGGAACACCTACACGTGCATAAAAAAACTGGTATGAAAATGATTTAAATTATTTAGAATGATGAGCAACTAAGCAGATTATATATTTTGACATAAAAATATCCTAAAAATGTCCTTAATAACAACGTTGTCCTATTTAGACTATTAACAACAAATAGTCCTATTTAGACTAGTAATTGAGCTGCAAAAAGGACTTCAACAATTTCGGAGGCAGTCAGGACTTCTAATTAAAAAATCTAACCCTGCCATCAATTTATGGACGAGTGTCAGACTCCACTTAGCGCGATCTAAGTGCTTATGTTTGTTTGATCTATCGCTCTTTTATAGCCACTAGCATAGTATAGGAGCACTGGCATAGAAAGTTGCGAGGCTCGAACGTACGAATTCTCGGTAACAAATTTGAGAGCAGCACGAGGCGATCGCACACACGGAAACCGAAATATCCACATCCAAATTTTGAGAACATACGTTACCACCAACGAATTCATCTTGCTCTTATCAAAATTTTTTCTCATGTTCATAATTAGATTATCGGTATAGTACTTCATAGGAGTAATCGAATTGCTTGTGATTTTAGGTTTACGAAGATTATCATTTGAACACTACGAACTTTTCACCAATACGGGAGCGAGTAGCCCACGCTGCAATGACTGGCCAACACTGCACGTTACATCAATTTATTGTCTTACTAGCTCTCAAATATTGCCCAGTTTACAGCGTACTGCATGCGACCAATCCTTATATTGTAGCTCTTATGAGCCATGAAAATTGCCTGTTGCCACGAGGCAGCGAATCGAAAAGCCTGCCATGCCAACCGGTTCGACAGTTCTTCTTCGAAAACGCAAAAAAAAACTAAATTATGAAAAGTTTCCGTTGGAAAAACAGTGACTTCATCAAATTACGTTACACAATGAGCTTAAAAAATCTGGGAAATGGCTCCGTATCATTAAACTAGATGCCAAGATCCATCATATTTTTTACGATTAGATCGAGGGCTGATTCAATGGAAAGGATGAATACAGACGGCAAGGGTGTGTGAATGCTGGAACGTCAATAAACACTATGCCTGATTAGCGTAAAATTATTCCAAACGACTTCATTTCAAACGATAAGACTGAGCCACACCATTACCGGTTTTTTTAACTAGAGGCTGACCCTGCTAATTCATTGGACCTGCTTTGTTATTAGGACTTGCTGCCTATTACGCGATAGGTCAGAATTATTGGAAGTTGCTTGATTGAAGGAAGGGATTATGCCATTCCGTCAGCAGCAGGCTATATTGTTGGCCTGCGACAGGTGACTCGATTGTAGGACCAGAGTTCATTGACGGCTCTGGGCGGCGGCAGGGTAATAAAAAGTATGGTCAAATCACTGTTAGAATAGAATAGAAGTGTCGGCACTGAAGAAATAGGCCCATGGCCTGTTGCCGATTCTTGAATTTTTCGTGACTTGATTCACAGGGGGTCCGGCCTTTGGAACCCGATCTTTCCATAGCTGACGATTGATTGAAATTGTTGCTCAGGATATAGGTAATTACCTTCATTTTCCGTTAATATATATGTATGTCTGCTCTACATGACTATTAAACGACTGGCATGACCAGAAAGTTTAGTTACATATAATTTTCTCAACAGGAGCCATCACCGTCGCTAAAACACTGGACTACGAAAATACGAAGGCAATTTTAGCTACCGTGTTAGCCACAGATGGCGGTTACCCTGCTTTATCTTCAACATGTCTACTGAATGTGACTATACTTGATGTCAACGACAACGCGCCCGTCTTCGAACAGGAAACTTACTTTGCTACCGTGTCTGAGGATGCTAGCCTTGGCACTATTCTAATCAAAGTGAGTTAATTCATGTAAACATTCCCCTTCCACTTTGCCGATGTTACGGCAAAGCAATAAAAAATGTAGGAAACTATTAGAATATGAACATGAATTTGGTTAGGTCCTTTCCATTAACAACAATTCGTACGGAGGCAACTTGCGAATAGTTCAAGACACATTTCCCCACACGATGAATAGTTTTCAAATTTTTGCTAATACCTAGTCAAATTATTTAATTTAAGTAATGTAAATTGAGATATTTCTAAAGGTAAACGCTACCACAGCACCAGCTTTCTCTGAACTGTGTTTCACATGTTGCAATTTCGCGGCGTCAAGCGAAATTTTTTCCTATATAGGGGTTTCCAAATCAGCGCTTGGCAAATTATAATGAAATCAATCAAATTATCAATGAACGTGTTGTTTAAGCACACATTCAGGCTCATGTGAATTAAATTTAAACGTATTAAATACAAATTTTACTCGAAATCATGGCTCGGTCAACGAGCTAGACGCCCATGGGAAGTTTTGTCAAGGACGGAATCTTTTCCTATTTCGCCGAGGAGGCACATCTTTGAGAAAGATCTTGACTCGAGAAATTTAAATAGTGTAATGACCAAGATCTACTAGAGTTATGCTAGTTAGTTACAGAAATTTCACCGAAATAAGACCAGGCCGATGGTGTCATTGTTTTTCTGAGAGACTCTTACTTTTAATACTAATGATGATAGCATATCAACGATATTTAATTCGGGTGCAAATTAATATCTCTTAAGCAGGTATCTGCTCATGATGCAGACAGCGACCAGAACAACCGAGTTCGCTACGCCATCACCGACGGGGACAATAACGGCTGTTTCTCCCTCAACGCAAGAACTGGGGCTCTTAGTTTGTCTTCAGTAATTGACAGAGAAACGGTGAGAAGATTTTATTTTGTTCGGAATAAAAAAATAAAACTAATGCCAGTAAAAATATAAGTTTCACAAGCGTTGAAATAATTATTGACTTGGCGTGCTACTTCGTGAATAACCATACTATATATACGATAGAAATTGCTTTAAAAATACACTGAGAAAATTTATTTTCGAAATAAGTGAAATTCGAACGCAATTTCATACAAATGCCATACTTTGTCCTATCGATGCATGCAATGCACAATATCATTAAGCTTTGTTTTCTAAAAAAAAGTTGTTACAACGATACTGTTCATCTGGACTCTTTAAAAATTTATGAATTATTTTTGTATAAATTGTTTAGTTAGTTTGACTGGGGCTTATTTATTATCCGGGGCTTATTTATTGTAATATTATTATAATATATTTATATTATTATTTATTATCCGGGAATTATTTTTGAACCCCCGTGAGCAGGAACCAGAATATTTATTGAAAATTACAGCCAGCGACAGCGGCACACCAGCTCTCTTCACCAGTGCTACCGTCTCTGTAAAAGTTCTGGATGTAAACGATAATCCACCAGTGTTTGAGAAGGCCTTATATTCTACTGTAATGCAGGTAAATGATTACTTTACCACTCCCGTATATGTTATTAATGTCGTTTTTATTTTTGTCACAAATTTGTTCATTCAAGCTTATCGCACTATAATTTTTTAACCCGCTTGATTAAAAGGACATATAAGAATGAGATGCGAACAATGACAGGCATGACTGATTCAGATTAATCCAGACATATCATACCCTTCATATTCCCACATATTTCCCGACATATCATTTGCTAATAATTTAAATAAGAAGGACGAACAATATATGCTGTACAACATTTAAGGTCTAGAATTCGAAACCCTCGGAGAATAGGAAGTAACTACAAATTATCAATTGATAGCAGATTCAGACACCAATTCCATTCAATCAAATTTTTTTCTAAAGCTCTCATTCAATCCATAAAACATAACAAACACCGAACTGATCTAAGATTTTTAACGCACTTACAATATTATTTTGCTTCTAAAACACAGTTGGCGGGAGAACGAAATTCAATAAAACATTTGGAGACATTCGTTGGCACAAGAGCTTGATAAATATAAACATTTTTAATAAAGTTCCCATCGAACTCTTCACCTCGATATTCGGCCAATAAAATTCAATTTACTACGGGTAACGGTTACGGTAATTTTATATCATGTAGGCTTAATAGTTACCCAGCCTTTCTCATCTTAATTGAGAGCAATAATGTTATAATGAAGTGTAGTATTATTATTAGTTATTCTATATTTAAATTACTTCCTCTTGCATTAATGATACGAATAATTATATCATGCAAACCATGACGGTGATTGATTTCAACCCCGAACATATGGGTAAAATTTTTATTTTAGAATATTTCAATTATTTCAACTATTCAATCGGGTGTCATTATATTTTATTTGCAGGTTGATAAAGTAATTGGCTCACCTGTTACTCGCCTTCTCGTCACTGACAAGGATGATGCCGATAATGGTGCTCCATTCACTTTTGAAATTCAAGAAGAAATTGCAACTGGCGCTCCTGAGGGCGACTACAAATCTGTTTTCAACATTGACCAGGAAGGAACAATTGGGCTGGCAAGGACTGGCCAAGAAATTAAGGTATGGCAGAAAATTTGCTGCAATAATAAAAAATTTTTAGGACAGGGGACCAGATAAAACCAATTCAATCTCAGACGCTGACGATTGATACAATAAAATTATAATGAAAACTAATTGACGGCGGAAATTTGGTCAAAACATGTCTCTAGGAGGCTCTGAAATTAAAAAATCATAAGCGTAAATAAGACGAGGTATTGGTGCTGAACCTAAGTTATATCACTACACAGATGGTCACAAATAATATAATTTATAAATATCGCAAAAGCATATGCATCAAGTATCTAACTGAATTTATCCCGACAGAGATTAATTTCGAACGGGCTCTGAGGATATAATTTTTCACTTGCAAAAAAGGAAGCTCGCAAAAATGAGAGATACAGCATGCAAAACAATTGTAAATAAATTTTAGAAATAACTGTTTAGAACCAAAAACGACATTAAATAGCGGTACTCAAATACACACAATATCAGATGACGGATACATTGTTGTTTTTGCCTGAAATAGCGGGAAATATTACCAGTCTTGTTGATGTCAACATTCATACATGAATTCTATTTGGAATTGAGTGATTGAAAACAATACATTCACGCAATGAATTACTTTAATTCAAGCCTTTGCACCACCGTTTACAGATTATGTTAATCTTCTTCTTTAATAAAATTCATGGTAAATTTGCTCAAGTTCTTGAAGCGAAACGCTTCTTTTAAGCACATTTTCTCATTTATGGAAAAAAGGCGCTATTGTGCTCGTCATGTCCGTCCGTCCGTCCGTGACGGTCGGACGGACGGATGGATGTGAGAAAATTCCCAACAATTTTCCATAACTTCATGACAACTCTAGAAACCTTTTGATTGGAAATTCTTTTTATTTTGAAACATAAGAAAGGTTTTCATATAAGAATGAATATCAAAGTTAAATAATGAATTGAAAAATTTTTACATTGTACTCCGCCTTGTTATAGAATGTTTAATCAGCTTCAGCTTTCAGCGTCATAAAACAACGTGACTTGGTAGGCAAGCCTATTAGGGATGTCCTTTATTATTTTGATCCAAACGCTTCTGTCGGCGATAAAAATTACCAATCACCGCACAATATAGCGCACTGAACTCAATAGCGCGATGAACTCTTTCAAACCGTTTGCCACTGGAAACGAAAATATTGATGGCAATATTATTGTATCTTAAGGTCTTGCAACTCAGTTGACTATGGATTTATGAGTGGAACTGTTGCGCTACTAATCTTGAATTTCTCAACCTTGTATTAGATGTTTCGACCTCTCCTAGCCTTGCCAAAACCTCTAGATTAACCCTTCCTAACTTGTGTCCTAACTTGATCGAAATTTTAACGGAAATAATAAGACTTGGAGGAATAAGATCGAGAAATAAATTTCAATAAAAATTTCTGCGAAAAGTCTTGGCCAGGAAGGAACGCTGATACAGTGACAAAGAAGTATAGTGGACATTTTCGCATGTCAAGGAGCTTGCACAATTGTCATGACATTATTTTGAACCTTCATAATCACGGGAGTTGAATCTTGGCTTGTCTAGTGAACATGTAGCCTTATGATAATCGTTATTTCACATTATTGAAATTAATAAAGTAGAAACCCGCCTCGAAGTTAGAATGATTTATTAGTATATCCCGACTTTTTAACGTTTCCAGTCCATAGTGCAATTTTTTTCTTGCAGGTTGGAAACTCTTTCCTGCTGAAAGTGCGAGCTTGGGATAGCGGTTCGCCTCCTCTGCACAGCGATGTCTTCGTGAATATCTCTATAGTTGAAGAATCTAATTATCCACCCGTTATCCAGCCTCTTAAAATTTCTATTTTCTCTTACACCTCTCCGTACAAGGGAGGCATTGTTGGCAAAATAAGAGCTACAGACAGAGACCCATACGACATTCTACAATATTCGCTTAGTTCATCTACAATTCACGGAAACAGCTATGGGTATTTTGAAGTTGACTCTCGGGATGGCACTTTGGTTGTGACGTCACATTTGGATGGTGGGATGTACAAAATCAACGTGTCGGTCTCCGACGGAAAGTTTACAAGATTTGGGGATATAACAGTAATTGTTACAATTATCACCGAATCTATGCTCAACAGTGCCGTTATTTTAAAGTTAGGCCCAATGACTCTAGCTGAGTCTGTGGCCAAGTTTAACAATTTTCTTGTTAAAATAATAGCGTCGGAACTAAATGAACAAGAGAATAGAGTGCAACTTATTAGTTCGCAAGTAGGACGAGATGATAAAATGTTATTGAAGAATGGAGTTGAAAGTAAAAAGAACAGTATTTCTGAAATTCTTTTCGTTGTTCAGAAGCAAACGGATAAATTCTATGAGAGGAGGCAAATTCTCGACGCGTTAAATGCCCGAAGAAACTTGATCATAAATGAACTCTCTCTTGATCATTTCGAACTCATGAAATCCCCTTGCAACTCTAAGTTCAAGTGTAATAATCAAGGCAAGTGTTACAATGAAATTATAATGGGTGAAGAAACGGTTTTAACCTTAAATTCTGTTTCCATGAGCCTCGTCTCTCCGTCTTTCGACTACCAAGCCATTTGCAAGTGCTTCAAAGGATATGGCGGGGCATTTTGCCAGGAAACTTTAAACGCGTGCGGACACAAGCCATGTCGTGAGTACCAGCAATGCTCGGCCACTAACACAGAGGGCAAGAGTTTCGAGTGCCATTGTCCCCGCGGTTTCACGGGCGATATGTGTCAGATAAACGTTGAGTCGTGTAATGATTTACTGTGCCACAATCCAGTCCTTCCGTTACATTTTGGTGGTAAAAGCTACGTCCAGTATGTGATGGAAGATCCGAAGCTAGCATACTCAATGCAATTGAGCTTATTTTTGAAAACTAGACAGTCTTCAGGGACAATAAGTTATATTAAAGGAGGTATAGACTTTAGTATTCTAGAACTTTCTAATGGTTTCGTACACTACCGATGGGATTGTGGTTCAGGTGAAGGAATGATCGATTCTTCTAGTGTGAGAGTTGATGACAATCAGTGGCATCTAATCAACGTGACACGAGTGGGGACCGTCTCTGTGTTGTCCGTGGATGGCAATGAGAGTTCCTCTGTATCTCCCGGAGAAAACGATTTGCTCAACTTCAAGTCAGGCCATTTATATTTTGGTGCTCAGGTAAACGTTCGCAAAAAAATAATGAGCGTTGACTACGGTTTCCTGGGATGCATTGATCAAATAAAGCTGAATGGACATTTACTTCCGACTATCCAATCCAATGCAAAGAATCGCCCTTTCTTGAATAAACTTGCCAGTGTAGAATTTTCGTGCGATAGTGTCTTACCGAAGCCAGGACCATGTAGTTCACACCCTTGCTTCAATGGCGGCACGTGTGTGGAGCTCGGTACAGGCGAATACAAGTGCTCGTGTTCTCTTCCCTTCCATGGCGAACAGTGTCAGTATAACGCAGATCCTTGCTTCTCAGATCCATGTCTCAACGGTGGAATTTGTTCTCCACTCGGCGATACATTTCAGTGCAATTGCTCCAATAACTTGTCAGGCCAAAGGTGCCAGTACGGAATTCATTGTTTTTCAAACCCCTGTCAAAATGGAAGTCGCTGTGAAGATGGCGAAGATGGGCCATTGTGCAGATGTGACCTCTTAACCGGAGAAAAGTGCGAAGAAGACTTAGATGAATGCGCAGTGCAACCATGTTTCAACGGTGGCTCGTGCGTAGATCTTCATGGTGGTTTCAGTTGTCTTTGTAAACCTCAATTCAAAGGGAAACACTGTGCGACACCTATTTTCAACGACGATAAAATGCCTTTTAGTTTCTCTGTGAAAGACGTCGCAGCGTTATTCACTGTTGTCCTTACTATCTTACTCGTGGTTCTTGTATTTGCCACATGGCAGAGAAAAAAACGGAGGAAAAAGCGCCAGCAACAGAATAACAGACCCCCGACATCTGAGCAAGTGAAGAATGACTTGAACTCCACTAACTTGCTCCCTGCAAGAACCTCCAAGAAATGTAACGTCGAAGCTGATCAGGTTTGTGAAAACCTTCATTTCCTCAAACTTTTTATATCTAATCCATTCAATTACCAGTCACGTAGTCAATCGTACTCATCACATGCATGCTCAATTCTGTACCTCAATTACGTCAGCATGTCGCTCAATAAAATAAGTTTGGCCAATAATTCACCAGATGAAATGGACACACGCGCATTCAAACAATAGGAAATCAAGTTTTTATTTCCAAACATTATTGGTCTTAATTTGTTTCCAATTCTTTGGAGTTCTTTTACGTGACTTCGTACTTTTATTTGTCAATTTGTGTTTGAACTCTTTCGTGTAATTCTTTCTTTCCCGTGAACTCTCCATAACCACTATCGATGTGCAATGTAAGTTGCCTGTCGCGTACATTATTAATTTCAAATTTGCTCCGCATTATTGTCTTTGTTATTTATTGTATTTGCGTTGTGTTTCATTGATTAGTATATTACGTCGGTTAATGGCATTACAGGTAATGGAAAATTTTTTCGAATAATGCTCGGACTGCCAAATCTTCCTAATTTCTAAAACAATTTATTCGAACATCACATTCCAATGGATAAATTGTTCGAGAAATCAAGGTTTGACTTGGACCCACACTCGCCAACGGCTTCTATGGAACGAAGCTTCTATCCGAAACGTTTAAATTGAAAGAATGATAAATTTTCTTTGTTTGTTTTTAAACTCTTTCGGTATTGCTTTTTTGTTCAGACTACACAATCACACAGAACAGGTAAAATTTTGTGGTAATCATTCGCTCCATGAACAATATTAAAACGCACGGAAAAGCCAAACTTGGCCTCTCATACAAGTTTGACCATTTCGCAAAATCAACAGGCTATCAAAATAGGCATTCGTACACACATGCAATAATGCCCGTAATTATGCTACGCTACCAATATAACCCATCATCGGACTGATGAATAGATTTGAAAATTAAATGACACGAATTACTTACAGTAACACACACTATTACTTACAGTAAAGCTAAATATATATTTATTTACACTTAAAGTATCTCAAAAGCATCACCACAGTTCTAAGATCTTTGATACTGGATTTGAACTTAGCTGTAACAACTTATCACACCATATATTTTTTTATTTAACATATTTTCTGCCGTTGAGCTATTGACTTGTTGCCCTGTGAGTTGTGTAATCACTTAATTGGTGTAAATGCCTCCTGGTCAATATGTAATCTTATCGAGTAATCTCATCTGAAGCTCCAGGTGGTCATACCACCCAAAAATAGAATTCCCTTGCCACATAGAAATAAAACTGAAAAATCCATGTTTTGGCATAGACTATAAAATGATCCACCCCTTATTCCAAACCAATTTGTTTTCAATCTCCCTTGTATTTCAGTTCACCTTCTCAAACGAAGTTCCCAAGCATACTCAGTCTTTATTTTTATCATTAAATGAGAAGTGTGTTCGCATTAAAGGACAGAAGTCAGATTAGTTTTATTAACAGTTCACATTTGAAAGCTTTAACATTTCATAGGGTACGCACACAGTGAAAGCAGGTTGCCAGCGTGCTGGTTACCTGCTCAGGCTGGCGCCTGAAACCATAGAATACAGAAGCCTATTCGTACAGGTTTTCACTGTGAACACTTACATTATTATCCTATGTTCATTCTTGTGGCAGGTTGAAACCATAGCATACAGAAGCCTATTCGTACAGGTTTTCACTGTGAACACTTACATTATTATCCTATGTTCATTCTTGTGGCTGGTTGGAGCAGGTTGCCCCCGCGGGCAAACCTGCTTTCACTGTGTGCGTACCCTAAGACTGGCAGTTTGCAGGTTCTACGCAAATTATGGACGTTGCATTGTATCAAATTTCAAGTCAGAAATCACGTCATCAAATGTTCATTTCTTTTCAACCAGCTGGGGCTTAGCTTCCCACCCTTCACGGCTAGCGAGAATGATTCAGTTATACTGAGCGGCATCAAACCATGGAACGAACCGTGTCAATCAACTCCAGATAATATGGAGCTGGACATTCTCAGCCGACACGTCAATGACCTCGAGTCAGATTTGTACACACCTCGTAATTGGATCGAGTCCAGAAGACCGAACTCAATCTGTCAGTCACCAGTCACGTCGTCGAGTTTTTTATCCTCTCTCCGAGGCTCATCACAAGGCCAGTTGCTCGGTGCTGGAATAATCGGGCCGGCTGAATCGAGAAGAAATAAATTCATGGAAGTTCTGCAAGTGGATGACTATGAAACTATAGAAAATAGCAGTGAAAAGCCTTGGGATCATCATAATAACCTCAGAAGTGATTACTCCACTACGATGAAAGGTATTATAAAGCCCCTCAAAATCGATATATATGTTTTTCAAGCAAACAAATCTGTAGTTTTCCGCAGACGAAAAGCTTGCTCTTTGAAATTTATCGTTTTCTTCTCAGTAATGAAATTGTTGGGCAATAATCTAGGTTTAAATTGCATTATAATTGTGCTTAGCTAGAAGGTAAAAGGATTATTAGTTTTTTTTTTCGACTGAATATATTGAAAAACATTTACCTCGAAAAACAAGGGTTTTGAGAATTATGAGACCTACATGGGAAAATATTTCAATCACTAATCCAATCCAACATTGCCCGCATTACAGCAGATGTGGCTTCTGCTGACGACTACGGAATGCGAGCGGCTAAACCTCTTCGAACTTTTGGCGGGGGCGTTGGCGTCAACTTGAGTGGACGACATACTCACCATCTGGCCACGCGGGCTGCCGTTCTTGCGGACCGAGTGGACAATTCTAACAAATCCGAGACTGGGGCTTCTTCGTGCCGCCGGGCTGAAGTAACAGAAACTGTAGATAACTCGTCTTCGGAAGACACTAATTCCGGTCACCCGCAATTTAGTGGTGAGTTTTTCTGTATAATTTTTTAGCCGTTCAAGTTGAAGTATGTGAGTCATAATCCTAAGCAACAATAATGCGTTTCCACTAGCCAAATTTAAATTCGCACTCAAATCAGATATGTTTCTTATTGATGGAACACATATAAGTTTCAATAGCTCAATTTTTTTCTCAAACTAATGTTGTATATAAATTCTTCTTTTCATAGATGCTGCTCGGGAACTTCCTGAAGTCGTTCTTTGTAGCTACGATTCTTCTCAAATGAAGCTTTTACATACCTCTTAAAACGATAAAGTCATTAAAGTCAGGACACCAATAAGAAAGAAACCGTGCACCACCAATTTTGAACGCCAATCAGCCCTGACTGGAAAGCCAAGCATCTTTTCGTAAAGCCACAAATCAGCCATGGAAGAGCCGATCGTCAATAATCAGCCCGCAACATCATTTTGTTTGAAATGTTATGTGCTTTGCACCATCAAACTAAGAAGTAAATGGCCTAGAGTGTAATTACATAATGCACATAATAATTACATAATGCATAATTTCATAACCTTACCAGTGCAAGAAGAGTTAGCAGCGCACAACGCAATGCAATCAATCAGCTTAATTTCCTCTAGAGTTAAATGAAAACTGCCTTGCATCACCAGACCGCGGATCGGATATGACTTCCAGCCTTCGACGAGTACGTGTTCATTTGATCCAGGGCTGATTCGATGCAGAGCGTAAATACTGGCGGCTAGTTGGTGTCACGGTTTGGAGAATGATTGCTGAAACGCTTCTGTCGCTCTTACTAATATGTGTAAAGTTATTGCGGGTCGTGTGGACGATTCTGGGCCATACCATTACAGGCTTTTTTTTGCTAAAAACTTGTTAGTCTTTTTGAAAGGATATGATTTAACCTGAAAGGCTTCCAGCCGATAATGTGACAGACCAGAATTGTTAAAAGTTTTGTTACTGAAGGATCGGTTTACGCCAGTCCGTTCGACGCTAAGCAGTGTTTGTCTCCGGCAGGCAACCCAAAAACAAGAATTTGTGTTAAAAGGACAAAGTGAGATGTGTTATTTTCAGCTCACCCATGAACACCAACCTAATTAATACTAAGGCAACCTTAAGGAAATGAATTTTGATACTAGTGCACCTTTTGATACTAGTGCACCTACTTGGCAAGAGAACTCCGAAAACATCATCGCCGTAAATCTGGGTGACTACAGGACAGGATTCTACACCCTTCAGTTGATCACAACTAAAGTGACTAAACGATCAAACCAGGAGCGGCATACTAGCCCCAGTGTAACGTACTGAGCGCTGCAGTTGCCTAAATTGTTATAATCCTTACTAGAGTAAGGCAGATCTATCGGTACACATTTTTTACAATGTTATAAAAAATTCTGATTAACTGGGTTTCAAACGTTACGCTTTCATAAAATATTTAGCGAGTACATTTATTCGATGTCTTGATGATAACGCGTCCGAGCGACTGATTGACATACTTTTCACCAACCAGGGAGCTCAACTTGAAGGAATCGAAAAACGCTGAATATTATTTATGAGCACAACACAATTGATATTTCTGAAATGCATTACTTTTCTGAGTAAGACGCGTTGAAAGTTATGAAAGAATTACTATAAAAAGCGTCGATAGCGTTGCGATTCCAATCCGAAATTCGCTTTTTCTGGGGTTTGCGTGTTGATATATTTGTCTTAATTGCCTCGTTCCGCAGATTGAGAAGAATTCGGCATCTAATACTTTTTTTATAATCATAACATATTGAATAGGTGGACAAAAATATTGACTAGTTTATATGTACTTTCTGTAATGTTTATATTTATTTGGAATGGCCAAAATAAGTCTGGAAGCAATTCATAAATAGTGATGTAAATTTATACTTCACATGTTTGAAGGCACAACTTGCAAGAAAAAAATATCTGAATAAAACACAGAAAACACAGGGCGTCCCATGACAATTCAGTGCTTACTTCTCCGCTCCTCTACTTCTTGGAATAGTTGCAATCATTGCTAGATATTGATATTTTCCTGGTAGGGCAACATGGGGCAGCGCGCCCCCCCCCCTTTTTTTAAACTAAATTTTTGATGAAGTTTCAATTGATACGAGGTGGTTCTTTGTTTTGTTTAAAGGTACAACTAATGAGGAATGTATGATGTGAATTAGACGCCTATATGTTCATTCAATTTTTAATGAAACACTATTTTGTAAAAAGTGTCAAAATGGGCCCATTGCCCCACCCCTGGGGCAATGGGCCCATGGGCTTGGGGCAAGGCGTCCACCCATGGTCCCTTTACCACAAATGCATATTTTTCGTCTAAAAATGATAAAACAACACCTTACAGTTAAAAATAAGAAAATGCAATAAAAATATGACATTCACTCATTCATTAACAACTCAAAAAATCATATACTTAACTTGAAAAAAATATACTCTTGGCTTAAAAAATCTATCACTGACGTGAAAAAAAATATTTAATTGACATAAAAATATATATCCTTGACTTGAAAATATATCCTTGCGATAAAAAATTCGTCCTTGACATGAAAAAATGTATCCTTGACTAGAAAAAATATATTTAGTTGATCAGAAAAAAAACTTCGTTCCAGTTTCGTCCATAATCCAGATATTATGTGCAGAGAATTCGTACCTAATCGTGATTTCAGCCAACACCATAAAAACTCTCATCAACTTTTGGCTCATTGGTGTTGACTGAAATCGACTTTTGGCAAGGCAAGAGTCAATAACTCGAAAAGTGGTCATAAATACGCATAACTAGAAACTAAACCTGCTGCCTTGAGGCGGCAAATAAAAAAATCATGCAATATGAAGTGTAATTTGTAATTCAAAAACCTAGTTATAGTTTGAAAAGGTCATTGAGACAAATCTAATGATGTATAACACAAGACTTCACCATGGGCGCTTTGCCCCGTGACACGCGTGGGCCCGTTGCCCCCACTAGCTATCATTTCAATTTATATCGCGTCAACATTTTATTTTAAAAGCTAATAGTCTAAACTTGGTCTCAAAATTATCCCTATAAATATTACTTTGAAAAAATAATTCACAGTAATTTCAAAGGCTTCATCTATAGTAATGGAAAAAACATTATTTAGCGGCAAAAAAAAGTTTTATCTGGACTAAAACAGTTATTCGCAAAGAACTTAATAACGCAAACATTTAGCAAAACGTAAATCCGTACACTTCATCCCAGTGAAACTGTCGACAGGCGGGAGAGAACACGGACCAATATCTGCCATATTTTGCGAGAAACCCGCTATATGGGCCCGTGACCCGCAGTGGGCTCGCTGCCCCATGTTACCCTACCTAAAAAAATGCCCACTAATTGTTCTGATGACTTAATAACATAAATTCTTAATTTTTTTCTGTTTCTCCGTGAATCGTGTGTAGAACCCGGATAGTTAAATAATTTTTTTATGTATCTATTTTTTTAATGAATGCAATTAATGATCTTCAGAAGTTGATCTGCCTTCGGTTTTTGTCACTGATATGGATCAGTCGTAGAAATCACTAATAACGTGGATAACTTGTGAAAAAATACATATATGTTCGCCATTCCTGAAACAAAAATCAGAAATTCGGCAACAAGAAATCTTCACTCCATTTATTAAGAAAACTCGTACAATTGTACCGAGCAACCCATTTCGACCGTTTGGCTCGATTTCTATACCCTGTTGATGCAGCGTTTCAAGCGTTAGAATTTGTGTAAATGTGCTCTTTGATTTGAACGTGAACAATATTTTATTACTGCTATTAAATCCTTGAGAAAACCTATAGGGCCATGAATTATGAACCTAATATTTAGATTGTCACTTTTACATGCGGTGCAACAGTTCAATCTTTACATAAAACTCGAACTATACCCTGAACACTTTATTCCGCTCTACCAGATTCCTATTGCACGGGTAATACGTTAATTCGTTCAGCATGAGCTTACGGTTTATTTAAGATTGACCACGTAGCGACCGCGGCGACAGACATGTTTATTCATTAACTGCTTAAAGAATTCATAAACATGTAGAATGTCTATTTTATTAAAAACTGTAAATAATAAAATTCTACATGCCATATGACATAATACAATTCGATTCAAATTAGCCAAGAATTTGCTGGTGAAAATAATTGTTTACTTAATTATATATAACAAAGATGAAATTAATTGTTTGAATTAACTGGTAAAACAGTCATCCAAGTAATTCCATAATAATTCAGTTATATAATAATGAAACTAATCAATTTTGAATACGTCAGTTGGAAACAATGCTGATATTTTTAATATGTAACAAAGAAGGTTTGACAGCCTTTCTCACAGACATGCTTTAACATGCTTCGATTGCTTCATCTTGTATCATTATTTCATTTTTTAAAATTCTGAAACAGGTTTGCGAGACGGTCCTTTTTTCCGGACTAATTCCGCGATTTAGTTTTTTTTTTTCAATTGCGTTGGTACGCTAAAATTCATGATAGGAGTACTTCCAAATTAAAATTTAAAGACTGCGAAAAAAAGAAACGGAATTTTTTCACCGGAACCTATATATGCACTAGTGTATATTGAGTTATAGGCATTTTTGGCCTTTTTTGTTCGCGGACTTGGCCGTTTTTAGGCCATCTGGCAACCCTTAATTATGCACCACTACGTCCTGGAGAAATATATTTCGTGCATGGTACGCATATATACCATTTCGGAGTCAACGTGTTAATAAGCTACTTTAGTATTTTTGTGTACTATGCTCCCCTTTTTCCGTTCACATACTACCGAAATCTTCCTCGTTTTAAAGTTTTCCAGTTATCAAAATTTGAATATCTTTAGATTTTTAAAAGCAAAGGAAGCGTCAGAGAAAGAAGTAAATTCATCATTGAAAACTTTTTGAAAACTAGCTCTTGCAAAAGTTTAAATATTCGAAGCATACGAGTACAATCAACAGTGAAAAGTCAAATTTACACCAAAGAAATTAAAACCCAGGTAACGAAAAACCCAGAACATGACCTAAAAACCAATCGATTAAAAATTTCAAGTGGATAAAATCTGTAAGCTTTATTGAAGTATTTCATTGTCTAAATATATGCAGTGATTCCAAAATCCTAAAATCCGAAGCCCCAGAGGTGAAACCAAGTATCGTTAATTAATTTTCAAACACAATCGTGCACGCCGCAATGTTTAGCGTAGCGGAGCACAGCGGAGTAGCAAGCGGCAGATTAGAACGATAACTCCTGTCGCGGTGTTCTGCAGTCCGTGCTTGGGCAGGAGCTTCTTTAGAAGTTGTTCATTTCGTTTTAAATCGAATAGGCTTCAAACTCTAATGCACCGCGGCAGTAAAATTCGCTGCAATCTTCCGTCTTACGAAATCTGGATTAGAATTCATTCAATTCTGGATTAAAATTCATTCAATTCTGGATTAGAATTCATTCAATTCTGGATTTGAATTCATTCATATTATTTCTCGTCTGAATGAGTCCTTGAATCCGCGGCACTTATCCACTTGAGATTGTTAGTCGATAGGTTTTGATGTTCCTTGCTTATTTTCTTTTTTTTTGTAATGAAATTTGGTTGTAATCTCTTTCGTGCAAATTTGCTCATCTCTGCAAATTGAGCTTTTATTCTTCAAATTTTGGAACTAGTGAAGAAGCTGGTATCTTCAATGAAGTGATGGTGAATTCTCTTAGGGTTTCCTCTGCTGTTACATTATTGGCGAATTTGCGATATCAGGAGTCCAATAATGTATGTATTTAGATTTTTAATTTTGTTGTAAATAACGTACGTTCATGTAACCTCCAAATAGCTTCAAAAATGTATATGTAAAGGAATGCTACAGCAACATGCATATCAGTGAAGAAAGTTCGAGTAGCTTATCCAACTTAACGCTTGCATAGCTAGTGAACATATGATGTTTTTTTCTTTGTGGACCAACGTGACCCAAATAGTTACGTGTATTGATAGTTCAGGATTTATACTTTTCTATCGAATTCGATTATGAAATGTACATTTTCCACAGATAGAAGTGATGTTTGTCGAAAAATATTTCTTCCTTGTAATTAGTATTTTATCGTTATTGTGAGTGAATTCCAAGATATCGTGCCTTATTAATATGAATGAAATATATATATGTCTGTCAAATGAAGCTTGAAAACACCCTGCTATTGAAGAATCCTGTTCTAAGTCTGTAGGTTGTGGTTCAATCAGTTTTCAAAATGCGAAGATTCTGTATTCTGTGTTTTAACCATAAACATGCCCCTAAATTTGGAATGAACAGAATCCCTTTATGAGCGTTGAAAGCCATTCTACACACACCATTTAATCAGATCTTTATTACTCAACCTATTTTTGACTTCCAATATCAAGAACGATGTCCCAAAGTAATAATGTTTTGAACCCTAAAATTAAGGAAATTCTTTCGTCAGATACATACAACAGCAAATGAGCACACAATCAAATCAAATGTCATTTCAGTAATAAAAGGACAATTTAAATGAAAGTAAATTCATCAACAACTAACGATGGGCATACATGTAGTTTTGGATTTGTGAGAATGAAAGTTATTAAAGCCTCTGTGCAACCACGGTTTTGTTTCGACTATCTTTGAATAATTTTATCATGATTTAAACTGGAATCGTTTACATCAGTCGATGCAGTTGTAAGAGATTAAATTTACTTTTCAAGTTTGTGCTGAGAATCACTGATGCAAAGCCTAGTATACAAAAATCTACAATATATGAATGTCGCATATGTTGGTTTCGGCTGCAAACGACTCGAGTCATGTCTAAATTTATGGTCAAAATATCCTGAAGCCCAGGTACACTTAATTCGAGATTTTCATCGGTAACTGTCTGAAACGCGTTGTCTCTCATCATATATCATGCGACAACCTAATCTTTCGGCAGCAGTAAATATAATCAAATTAAGTGACTCAATTTTATCCATCGTTGATACAAATTTGCTGACAATGTCCCCATATGGATGTAATCTGTGTTTTCATCCCCTGCTTTACATGATAAAGGATAAAATTTTGGCATATGATTTGTAAAGCTCGTGTTAACAAAAATAGAATGGTGTGTGTCTGTGTCATTTATACCGAAGCGGATTTGGTTACCTAATAGCGACAAATATATTTGTAGTAGATGAATTTTGTTTTTATCCCAAGAAAATGACATTCTTCATCGAAGATGATGCCTCCTATTACAGAATCTATGAGTTTCAGAAGTGCGTCAGTTATTATTATAATTACGTCAAGTCCTCAACATTTTGTGAGTATGACAACCCAATTTGTAGAGATCATACTTGAATTAGACGACCCTGGGCCGCAAGCACTTGTAATTTCAAAATACAATGAAGTGCGTAAACACATCTGACACATTTTATAAATAAGTACGCAGAAAATATTTTTTATTCGTGTGTTCTCCACCGCACAACCATGCATGCAGCAGTGCATGACAAATAATTCATACAAACTAATATCCAGACGCACACTATCATATTTTTAACACAATCTCAAACTAAAATATTATTTAATTTACATTTTATTGTCCACATGCGATAGCTCAAAACTCTTGTAGCGTTAAAACTCTTCTTAAATTCTTAATCTTTGCAACACATAAAGCAGTACGTTTCGTCAGATTAAATGAATAGATGGCATCCAGTGCACACCCGTTAGTGAGGTCATTTTCGGTGAATCAGATGAATTTTACATCGTTGGAAATCCATTAGAAAAATTAAATCACCAAATATTAGTTTAATTAAATCCTCCAACTAGTTGTCATAACGCAGTAGGCACTAGAAAAGTCATAGATTGCAACATTTAAACTCTGAAACGACGACCACCAAGTTCATTTTAAAGTAAAAGTAGCCATCGGAAATAAATCGCGCCGGTGTCAAGCATTAGCGGCAAGATAGCTGGCAGACAGTCGAGCCAAGATCAAAGTTTGGCCTTACTATGGTTACTATGGGTTACTGTGATTTTATTATCTATTGATTTTAAAAAATTTTAAAATGTTTGCACTTATTTCCGATACTTTCTTAAGGTATCGATCGGCATGCCACCGAAGAAGAACATTCCACGTATATGTAGTTGAATCTGGCTAACTATCCATTATATTCACCGAAATATGATTGGCAAGAAGTCATATAAGTGAGCAGCCTCGTAGAAAGACTTCGAGAATAAGTAGTCAAATGAAGTGTATGTGAGGTGTGGGTAAACGCTGATGCCTGGACTCAGGTAACCTGACCAGAAACTGTAGGATCCAAAAGTGATGATGCTATGGTTGCAGCGTGTGAGCAGACACAGGTCACCAGCTTCAGTACCTTGGCGAGAAAACAATACAGCAGTCAATGAAAATATGCATTTGCTGATTATGCACTGAAATTTAAAAACCGTTATTTTTGTTTCCTCAGCATGCAAGACATGGAAGTTAGCAAAGCAATAAATCTCAAAGTAATAAAAGAGTTTTGAATACTCAAGCTGATATCTACAATGAGTTCGAGGCCGAAATGAATTCATCGAACAGTTTTTGCAACTTGAACGTCTCGTTTACATGTCGGGTCAGTTTGAAGGGTTATCGTCTCAACCCATCAGACTTAAAGCATCAGAGAGATAGTTTGAATTACATTTATTTAAGGGCGAGTGTTTATTATAAGAATTCACTCAACTTTTAATTACTCAGCTGTTACATCCCCATTACCGAAATTGATAAAAATTATTAGTTTAGGCTTGATAATCAATTAGATAGTTATATCAGTGATCATGTAAATTTTGCTAAATTGTTGATCTACTGACGGCAGCACTGCTTGTGTTGCTTTCATGTGATCTTAGGAATGAATTAATCCCATTAATCTAGATTTAATTTCATGAAAAGCTTACTAATCCCTGGTTGAAGTCTTTTGAGAACATTTTTCACGATTTAATAATAGCTAAGTTAGTTATCAGTGAATGTCTCATGGCCTTCAACCAGCAACACATGAAATTGATCTTTCTTTGATCTATACCTTGGCAGCTAACAAAATAGGTAGCTCGTGATTTCCTGTTGTTTGCCACAAAATATTAAAACGGCACTGTTGTGTAAATAGCTGAATCAAGATATTCAGATTGTTTAGTATTTAAGATGCAACTGAATTGATTCCACTGGTGGTTAGAGTTAAGGTTTAAGGTCAATTTGCGTTGCGATTACGTATAATTCAATGCCTAATAATTTTTGATACGATTAACGTAATATGGCTGGACATTTTTGAAATATTTTTGGGGAGAATGTAGACCAATTACTTTAAGCGTTACCGTTAGTTAAAAAGAAAAATGAATATTTAGAATTCATAGAAATATGTGTTTTTGAAAGTTACAAAACTCATCTTACCTTGAGAAACATAAGCGTTCCGTACAGCGAGACCGTCAAACAGACGCTGTGTGTGGGAGACGTTGTCGGAGGTCACCACAAATACGACATTGGAGTGACGATCCGTAAAGAAATTGATAGCCCGTTGTAGGTACGTGGAATACGACGCTGAGATGTCGTCCACAGCATACATCTGCGAATAAGAGTGCATCAGACATTGTTGATGATTATTTTAACTGTTGTTCAGTAATCATCATAATTGGAAGCCGGATATACTTAGTAATTTGACATTGCTCAGCGGCAAGATGAGCCCTAGGCTTATATTGATGAAAGAGATAATTGAGATGATACAACTCTTATTATAAATTTTATGCACATAAATCTATAGGAGTAATTTGTCACTGCGCGGGAAGAACTGCATGGAATAAATCCCCAGACAAATGCCCGCAGACGCATGAGCTATTTCCAGGACTGAAGTTTATAGGTGCCTTAAAATTGAAACAAAATTTATCACACAGCTAAGCCAGTTTTTAACAAAGGCTCAATTTATAATTCATAAAATTTGTGACAAAAATTACTGTAGCTAACTAACTCAACATTATTAATATATTGGACAAATTTTTTTCAATGGAGCCAGGTGTCATTTTACATCGGCTAAATCCAGTATATCTAATGGACATCTGGAAAAGGGAGACAAAGGTACCTGCAACAGAACGCTTATATTAGCATACAATAATTTTGTGAAATTTCTATCATCATTTAATATTCTTTTCTCAAAATGGCTCTTTAGGAAGGACTTTCTTAAATTTAATTACCAAGAGTACAATGATATTATATATGAGTGTGCTCTTAAGTTAATGGCTTTTATATTTTGTCGCGTCATGACTCACATTTTGGAGCGACTTCCATCTAGGAGCCACAGCGCTATGATCATTTAAAGCTCTTTTTTATAGGTTTTTTTATTACTTTTTATTTTCATATTTATTCTTCTCTATTCACTCCGTCCTGTCATCTTGATACCAGTGCCTTTCTCTCAGAGAAAGGCACTGTCAGAGTCCCATCAAGGAAAGAAAAAATTATGAAACGACGAGCAAACTTTGATACAAGATGTTAAAACCTGGAGACGGCACCTATAGCTTTTTTTCGTCTAGCTGATGAAGTTTCCTGGAGCTATTTGAATTTCTTACAATTTTCGAGTATTTATCTCAGATTATTATTTTTTTTTTTTTTTTGTAAATGAATTTATGTACCTTCTTCTCTGAATTTCTTTCGTCATTCTCTAGTAGTATCCACTTTCGTCATTCTCTAGTAACCATTCGAAATATAGCTCTGCGATAAAATGTCAACCCTCTACCGCCGTACGTCATTCTCCGGGAACATAAATTTTAAGTCGAATACACGTAAGATTTTGACTGTTATAGTAATCTGAGGCCATACTTTCAAAACTCGCTAAGTGAACGTAAGTACCTACTTACGCTCTATTTTCTTGTCTATGATTGGTGGATTCTGCTTGAAAGGCCGTCAATGATTGGCTGATGAACTTACGATCTCTTAACTTTTATTTAAAGTATAGGCCCTGATGACGGTTGTCCGCTACAGAGAACATCTTAAAATTTTCGTACACGGCAGCAATCATCAATGCAGTTGTTCGACCGTCATTCTAATATTGATGAACCATGTAACTAACAATTAATTTTTATAACAATTAATAACGCAAAAAGCTTTAGTTCGCAGAATAATTTGTCCTATTCTTATATTTAATACATAAAGAAAATTACTTAGATGGCTTCGTATAAGAACAATTATTACTCACTGAGGAATGCAAGAGACAACACGTCTTTCTGCCACTCCAGTCAATTCACTAACTTGTGTGCCTTATACTTATAACCTCATACTGTTGTTCAATATCATTTTTTAGTATTTAAAATAATTGACGTGTCCCACTGTGCCCCTAGTTAAAATACGTACTTCTGGTGAAATTAATAATGTAAAAGATGCTACTATGTTTTAATTTTAATGAGTGATAGGGCTTCATGTTATGAAAAGTGTAATAAGTAGATGATTAGTGTTTGGCTTGGGCTAGATAACGGTTTCTTAAAGACGAGGGGCGTCGGTAACTTTTTAAAGCGCAGATTTTTTTGTTTCCGTTCATGATAACATGCTGTGAATATGATAAGTTAGATTTCAAATGCATTTTTATCTGCGCAATTGATGAACGTGAGCCGAATATAATTTTTTACCGAGTAACGTCAATCACAATATTCTCAATCGTGACTTCTGTACTCAGAGGTGCCACCAGGTAATCATTATTCTTGTTACAATATTTCAGACTAAAAATAAGCATCAGGGGCCATACTTTCAAAACTCGCTAAGTGAACGTAAGTACTTCCGCTCTATTTTCTTGTCTATGATTGGTGGATTTTGCTTGAAAGGCTGTCACCGATTGGCTGATGAACTTACGATCTCTTAACTTTGTTTGAAAGTATGGCCCCAGGTCATTATTACTTACCGCTTTCATGTGACGGATGTAGTCGGTAAGCCTCACATGAACACCAACATATACGACCGGTTCATCGTCCCCGAGTTGCGCCCGTTGACGGAAGTTTGCCAATTTTTCATCAGTCTATAAAAAATCAGCTATCAGCCTATAAAGTTCACATATCAACCGAGAGGGAGATAAACAGAGATATGTCGGATGTTGATTAATGTGACAGTCGATCTGTGCACGTATAAATTTGGGTGAGTGCCCAATGAGTCAAAACCTATATAATAAGCTACACAAATTAAATTCTGCAAAGAATGTTAAAAAGATTTTGAAACAATATTCGAGAAAAGAGAGTAACGTCAGAGTCAACATTACTCTGAAACTTTACTTTACAGTACTCTTTACTTTTGTAATTATTTTTGTATTTTTTGTAAGAATACTATTCAAACATAATAGTCAAGTTTGTACAAAGTTGATTCCATGAATTCCTCTAAAATCATTCCGTGTTCAGTTCACACTTGATCAACGGCAAAGCTATAATTCTAAATTATTATCGTTCCATCGCGAGGGCGATGGAAACTTTTTGGCACCAATTTGGGAGCAACAGAAGACTTCTCTGCAATTAAAATCAGTCAAATTTTATCTCTCCAAAATACTGCTCGTAAAAACGGAGGTATTATGAGATGAATACGAGTTGCGACTGTTATTTTCTGAACAATAAAACATAACATACGAGTAAAATATACAATGAAGAGGTAAAACCGTGTGATTTTTCAAGTCGAGCTGAAAATAATTGAAGATATTATGCGAGTGTTTAAGAGAGGAAAGTTAGGGTGCATTAGATAAATTTCAGATAGAAATAAACATCTCCCGAGAGGTCAAACGGACGAAGCATGCCCCTCGTTACCAATTATATGAAGCAAATGATGTATTGGCACCACTGTCGTTTTTTCGCAAGCTCAGAATTTCTTAGTTTAGAGATACATTGAAGAATTATGGTACCGTGACATTTTATACAATATTACGAGGAATTGTACTACACATTATGACAGGCTGTCTTCCCACACCGAAACCCTCAACGGTTGCTACAGCCCAGGTCAATTACGCAGTCCCAGACCGAGCATCGGAGTAAATAAGGCACATCCAGGGCCAAATTTCTTCCATTCGATTAATAATTGGTAGTGTATAAGTAAATTAAAGCTTTCGGTAATTATTTACACTTTTGATTACGATGCAAACTTTTTAATGACACAGACAGCTACAAACCTTCAACTGACATTTCGGATTTGAATGGTAGAAGGTGGCGGCTTGCCAGGTTGAAGGGGATATTTGGGAATATTTCCGAAATTCTCAATTTGTCACCGCACCGTAATCGTTTCTTTTGATGCTCACTCGTCGGATAGCATAACTAGATTAGAGACGATCTGATAGAACAGTTGGGTGCCTGTACTCGTACCACGATAGTTTCCTTGAGCACCATAGAAGTGAAGGTTCGTGACTCAGAAACAGACAACGAAAGTTCCTTCTCGCACGACCGCTCACGCTGGGTGGGGAACAGCCATCTCCGTCGGTCAAAGACGAGAAGTGGCTCAATTAGATTGCCATGGAAGTTCCTGCTCTCCAACTTGATGACGGAGAGATTAAATGTGGGGCATAGTCCGGATAAGTGGAAATGTTTCAGTATCGGATAAGTGGAAATGATCGAGTCCAGGAACGAATCTGAGATGGAACCATGCATAAAGCGACATTGTATTGAGTGGAAGCTAAAGACTCCTTGCGCAAGCAATTTTGGGGTCGGTTTTCTCGTCTTTGTAAAGTGAAGTACCGGTGAAGCTGTCGAGCGATCTAATTTTGTCGTTGATGTGCGAGGTGGCGGCTATCGTCAATAACCGGCGTTCAACTACCGTGAATGATGATTCTACGACAACGATGCACTAATACCATATCTTCTCTTGCTTTTAAATTCAGTAGAAACGTATTCGTCCGGCTTGTTCTACTCTTCGGACGCGTTGCACATGCGTCGCTAGAAGCAAGCGAATTATCTGTTTGACTTTTTTTGAGCAGCAGGCGCCGTGAATATTTTATAGCTTCTTCAAAGCCGTCTAAAGTAGAGCTCAACCCAGCGGCTGATACAACAGGAAGACTTTGCTCTACTAATGGTCCACAACCTGCCTCGCAATGAATGGCCCCTCCTGCGCGTGGTCGAGGTGTCTACGATTGCCGACGGAAGGAAGCGTTCAGCAATAATTCGGATCGCAAAGAATCGCGTTCCTTCTGTCACCTGGTCGGCACGCTGCTTGTGGAGCGCCCAATAACGAAGCTTATTCATTTGAGACATACTGATCAGCTTTTTTGATATAAAAATTTGTATTAGCTCAAATTTGGGGCCGTGTTGAATTCAATGTTATTAAAAATACATTTTTAAATAAATCTTCCGCTTGTTGTGCGTATGTCGCAACCCTTCCCTTCAACCCTTACCTGATTGAAGGGAGTATATGTATGGTACAAATTTTAGTTAGCCGTCATGTTCAGAGAATTACAGTCGTTTAAATTCTTCATATGCTCATATTAGAAATAAAGTGTTCTACTCTGATTGTTGCAATATAAACAATAATTATTTCCATTGTGTGTTTGTTTGCAGAAACCGATTTTAATGGAAATTCGCGAAAAGTCACTCAAATCCTTCGAACCGAATACACATAACACCTAGTTTAAAAATTAATTTTGATAGTTTTTATTTTTCATTCATCACTCATCAATATTGGTTGTTATCCAAAGCCATTTATCTGAAAATCAATGGCCGTTAGTAAATGAAATAACAAAACCTTGATTATTTTCACCTTTAATATTTAATACGAGCAAAAAAAAACAATCAAAAACTTACCTCAGCCACAATTTTATCATGGAATGTGAATTCTCTCCGGATTTCTTCTCTATAAGCGTTGAAAAGAGTTATCTCGAATGGATATCCTGAAAAATTGAAAATTTTATAAATTTTAGCCAAATGTAAAAGTCTATTAATCGAATTCACTTTCAATAGAAATTAAATTAAAATTTTGGAGTTATAATGTAGAAATTTGTAATATATACCTTAACCGCTATTAACATTTGCTGATTGCAACGTTATTTGGTTAATTTATTATAATATTATTATATAATATTATTATTGTATACGATGTAAAACTCCGATTTGGGGTGATCCGTCGCAAAATTTTCTGAATAAAGTGATGAGTTTTTACTTTATTCTTTAGGTAATTAATTTGACCAGATCAACTATAACGAATGTGTCTGAAAAATTTTCAAATTACTACAATAAGCTGTATTTAAATTATCGGAATAAATCAATATAAACTTTATATTGATAAGACTGGTACTGAATATTTAGGCATTAGAAAAAGATTGGCTTCTCTTCCTCTTCAGAAATCTCATCTCATTTTAATTAATATTTTTTTAGTTTAGTTTTTTAATTGCAAAGATCTTTGTGCGATGATAATTCAGCTTTGCTTGAAGACGCATAAATTCTCGATTGCTTCATCTTGTACAATTATTTCATTTTTTGTACTGTTTTCAAACAGGGTTGCCAGACGGTCATTTTTTCAGGACAAATTCCGTGATTTAGTTTTTTTCAATTGCGTTGGCCGGCTAAAATTTATGATAGGGGTTCTTCCTAATTACATTTTAAATACTGCAAAAAAGAAAATAAATGGAATTTTTATAGCGGAACCTACAAATAAACTAGTATATATTGAGTTATCGGCCTTTTTTGGCTTTTTTTCTTCTCGGATTTGACGATTTTTGGCAACCTGAATTATGTACCACTACGTCCTGGAGAAATACATTTCGTGGTACGCATATGTACCACTTCGGAGTCAACGTGTTCACGTGTTCAGGCAACCTGAATTCTGTACCACTACGTCCTGGAGAAATACATTTCGTGGTACGCATATGTACCACTTCGGAGTGAACGTGTTAACAGGCAAGTTAGTTTCATATGTAATGTTACCGATTATTTGTTATCATCTGATTTTAGGAAGTGATTTTAAGGATAATATGAGGGTGTCAAGACAAGAATAATGAATAAATACTTACCTTATGGCTTGGCACGCTCGCTTAGATGGAATTGCATGGCAACTGCATTTTCATATGGTTTACGTTGTACTAAAATATTAAAAATGCTGCACTGCACTTCGTACCTCAGCCCTTGAGTACCTTCCTTGACATATACTACCTACTTTACCATGAGATAAGTCAAATATAATCGAATTTCTCCTCAACCTCTACTTATGCAGCAATTATGTTTCGAATAAAAAGCTGCTTTTTTTAAGCCGACTAATTTTGCTACCGATGAAGTCCTCGTACGTCAACGTAATTATTGATGAGCTTCTTATACTTGTTTATTTATTCTTATTTAAACGCTATTTTATTCAGCATTAAAAAATGAAACGATTTTGGTCAAGATACATAGAAAAACTACAAGTTCTCACAAATGTATAAATTTAATATAAATTCTAAAGTTTAAACATCATACGAACCCATTATGATGAAACGCCTCGGCCCCAGTAAACCAGCGGCCGCAAGTTGAGTAGCCCGGAAACTGTGCACTTCTGGTCCGAAGTCTTCACGCAGTATAGTCCACTCCTGCTTCACAACTGGATCGTGAAGAAAGTAAGAAAACAAATATCATATAAGAAAACAAATATCACATGAAAAACACAAATTCTGGTGTGAATAGGCTTTTTATCCAACGCTACTCAAAAAGTGAGCCAGCCTCAGATCATGTAATAGGCTGATCTAATGCATGGCTCTGTAAAATTTCGAATGATCCGTATTACTTAAATTTTTAAAAATATATATTGCCGACTACCGCATGAAAGTTTGACAATTTCAAACGTCGCTCAAATCACTCGATTTAGAATAGTGATCAATCAAATGACTGTTCAATACTAGAATTTGGTTCAGTCGCTACTCATTTAGTTGAATTTTAATGAAAGACGAGATTATTTGCATCTCAAACATTATACCCAGATCTCTTTTCGTTCGAAACAAAAAAACTACGCACGTTTCAATTCAAGTTATTTCATGCAGGAAATCTTACCTACCAGTGCCAGACAATTCTTCGAGGTCTTTTGAAGTATTGATTTATATAATTCATTTCTGAAAAACTTGAGTTATTTACAACGAATGCGTTTTGATTTTAACTTTTTGAGTATTTTTGAGATTCACATGTTCAACATAATAGTCGTCGATTAATTTCCGAATTTTCTATTAAAAAGTTTCAGTTACTTCGAGTTTTTTCATTAAATGTTATTTACTGTATATATCTGAATTTTTTTATCAGAAATATAAAATAAGTGCTGGATAATTTAACCGTTGTTTAAATAAAGCTCAACAACATGAGGGACATAGAGATAAGGCAAATATGACCACGCATGCGACTGAGACTACATGAAAGTTGTAAAAAAAATAAATAAAAAAATAAAAAGATTGAGCATATTATTCGGTGAGCTGAGAATGCTTTATCAATGACATTTTCCCTGAATGATTCCATCAAACTGTAAATTGTGTCATTAAAAAATCACTTATCGCCACAGGTTTTCTGAATATATAACTTAAGGAGCTAAATCGTTAAGCTCACATCCAAAATTTTATTCATTTTAAATCTTGAATAAAATTACATGGATAGTATATCATATAAAATGATAAGATTTGTGATACAGGTGTTATGTTTTCTTCAGCTTAAATATATTTCAAAATTTATGAAAATTTCTGTAATTACTTAAGCCTCCTTCTCTACAAGCGGCATTTAATTTGTTGAAGAATTCAATAATAAAAATGTCAAAATTAATAATGTTTTCGATTACTCACGTGTAGAAATGTGGGGCACTGAGAGATTTTTGAAGTGAATTTGCAGTAAATCGAAGGAAATTGGAGTCACAACGGCTGAAACATTATAGATTTTCTTCAGAGCAAAGAGGGTGGCATACTCGCCCATCATGTTCCCCAGTCTGCCAGCCGGCCAAGTGGTGATGACGGGAAGGGGTAGACCGCGCCATATGCGGTCGTGGAGCAATCGTACGGAGGGACTTAGGACAGTTTTGGGAGGTGGTCGCGAGTCCACACATGAACGGCACCGATGTTTTGAACGAAATTCCTGGGGAGTATAAACAAAAGCGGTTTGAGTTAACATGTTTTTGCCAAATTTGGCGCTCGCACGGTAGGAGTTAGGACAGTTTTGGGAGGTGGTCGCGAGTCCACACATGAACGGCACCGATGTTTTGAACGAAATTCCTTGGGAGTATAAACAAAAGCGGTTTGAGTTAACATGCTCTTGCCAGATTTGACGTTCGTATCTGGACTTAGGACAGTTTTGGGAGGTGGTCGCGAGTCCACGCATGAACGGCACCGATGTTTTGAACGAAATTCCTGTGGAGTATAAACAAAAGCGGTTTGAGTTAACATGTTCTTGCCAGATTTGACGTTCGTATCTGGATTTAGGACCGTTTTGGGAGGTGGTCGCGAGTCCACTCATGAACGGCACCGATGTTTTGAACGAAATTCCTGGGGAGTATAAACAACAGCGGCGCGTATGAGCTAATATGTTCTTGCCACATTTGGAGTTCGTACCTGGATTGTAACAATAAAAAAAATTATTGCCAATAGGCATCCCCGAAAGGTTGATTCCATGACTTAATTTCATACAAATTATGAAATTTATACCTTACGGTTTTGTACAATTGTTAGAAGAGAAGTAATTTCTTTTTAAGTCTCTAAAATATCGCATGATAAAGGTCTGTCATATATATATGCTGTTTGTCAATTAGCGTCTATAGCTCTCCTTTTCAAATAGCGGTAGGTTAAACATGCCGATATTTTGCCTCTAATGATATCTCCTTTCAATGCGCATATACAGTGCCGGAAAAGGATATACGACCACCCAGTTTTCTCCAAATATTTTTTCTTGCACAAAAAATATGAGATTCTAATTACACGAGGTTAAACTACGTTTGAAAACGGTTCCAACGATATGCGAAAAAAAAATAATTTTCTCAAAATATATGAGTAGAAATGATGAAAATTAGAAAAACCTAGGTGGAAATGGTTATAAGATCAAGATATGTTTTTCCATTTGTGGATCACATACACTTATTTTAATTGGCAATCTCAACTCCTTTCGCCATAATTACCTCAATGCATCTTCTCTCCACGCTACCATAATTTAGACTCCTGCGTCTCGAAATAATTTTCTCGAAATGAACCGGGACAGACGAAACGAGACGATTAATTTCCGGGAAAAAAATAACGGGACAGAGGGTAAAATTTGTCCCTGAATAAACGTATGAACCGAGACAAGACTTCTGTTCCGGACTTTAAAACTTGTGTCCCAGTAAATTATGAACCGGGACGAGACAGACAGATTTGAAACGAGACATAACGAGACGAGACGATATTTGTCGTAATTATTTAAGACAAAACAAGTTTTTCGATTACGATTAGAATCATTTCGAAAACATAGGTTGAAGAATGACAAGTTAGCCATTTATTGCTAATAGGGCCATAGACAGTTACCAGTTAAATTAAGTTAATTGCAGATTTAGCAAAATTTGACTGACTAACTGACATGGCAGTTAATTAGTGGTCAGACAAACACCGCAAACCTGTCGATGTATGCATGGCTGAGTATTAAGTCAAAAATGTTACGTTTAAGTCTTAACTAAGGCTTCGATGGCACTCATGGGAACCGTATGAATATGAGTCGAGTTTATTACGCCTTCGGAACGAATTCAGGCGCCATGGAGCGCTGAGGGAGTAGGGACGCAGTGTCTAGATTAGTCGGCTAATTAGTAGACAGTGGAGTGGAGTCCTGGTAAGATATTCCTAATAATACTAAAGCTAGTTTTAGATTATCTCTGCCTTTAGTAAAATTTTGTGCTCCGCCTCCAGGAAATCTTCACAATTGCGCAGTTTCCTGAATTGTTATTAAACGCTTGTTTAACGTTAATTAGAAAGGATACACATGGATATTTCGAGTTCTTTTTTGAAGATCAAACTATTATATTTTTCCAACTTAAGTTTTGTTGTATTTTAAAATGTTGTTGATATCTCTTTCCAAACTTTTTTGTTGAAGGAGATTGCTTAAGGCAAGATCGATGAATCTGATTCTGTGATTGAGCTATAGGCAAATCAAAGTCTGTCCAGTCAGCCGATGTCACCAGCTACAGCTAGTATGGCCTCCTCCAAACCATCATATAGAACACATTTTTTGAAAAAAAAACTGTTTTTTTTATTTGCCTGTCAAGATTAAGTACCATATTAAACTACAACATGTATTCGCATCAAAAATCATTTCAATTGCCGAGCTCCAATCAGAATAGTAAAAGGATACGTCTCAAGTTATTATATAAATGCAGAGGTGGGCAGTAGCGCGCTACATGTAGCGGCCGCTACATTTTCAGTAGCGGTAGCGGCGCTACATTTAAGCAATTGTAGCGATAGCGGCGCCCGTTACGTATTTAAGTAGCGATACGAAGTTTTGCCGCTACAGCGTTACCGCTACATTTATAGATAAAGCCTTTAGATTTTACTTAATAGTATTAAATATTATTTTAAAACCAGCATGATACATGTATACATAATATAAATTACAGAATAAAACTGTACGAAAAATTTCGGTGTAATGTTGTCAACCTCAGCCTGTTACTAGTGTCAACATGTTTGTTGTTACCAGAGGTGAGCAGTAGCGCGCTACATGTAGTGGTCGTTACATTTTCGGTAGCGGTAGCGGCGCTACATTTAAGCAATTGTAGCGGTAGCGGTAGCGCCCGATACATTTAGAGCATGTAGCGGTAGCGGCCACTACATTTCAAAGTAGCGCTGCCCAGCTCTGTATAAATGTATGATGTAAGCAAGTTTACACCAAATCAATAATTGATTAGTCTCGTTATGTCTCGTTAAAATGGCTGTAAATTCCGGGAAATTTTAAGGTACCTATTTTAACCGGGATGTCTCGTCTCGGTATCGTCCCGGAATTCCTACGGAGGGCTGAAAATTGTCCCGGTTTTTATTGCGAACCGGGACAGAGCCTGTTGTCTCGTCTCGTCTCGGATAAAAAAAAAAACATACCAAACGCAGAAGTCTATACCATATAATACAGTGTCTTTTGAGAAATATTATCCCAAGAACGAAGGGTAGCCGTGCTCAGGTCACTCACAGATTGGAACTGGCGCTCATTTCGGTAAACATCCCTCGCCATGATGCCCCAAAAGTTTTCAATGGGGTTGAGGTCAGGACTAAGCGCCGGCCACGGCAACAGAGTAATATTCTGCTCTAGGAACCACATGTTTGCTGATTTTGATGTGTGAATTGAAGCATTGTCATGTTGAAAAACATATGATCCCTCATGTTTCTCATCGGCAAAAGGGAGAACTTGGTAAAACAGCGTGTGCTTGTAGCCACGGAATCTTGTCTCCCATGTTAAATAGCTAGAGTCGATTTTCCCTTTCGGCTAAACGCCCTCCAAACCATGACCGAACCACCAC